CACGGGCGCAGTAAACGGTTAGGCAGTGTAACTTGTACACGTGTGTATTACACGCGGATTATTGGTGTCAGGCTCGCAGCCTTCAATCGTGGAAAAAAGGCACTCGTGAAAAAAGAACACGCGTACAAAAAGGGCGAAGTAACTTAACTGTAGAATTCAATACGCCGCACCTATAACCAGTTGTATGAGGTCGGGTTAATGTTGACAAGAACGGACCAAGGCACGGGTTTAATCAGACGCATCCGTCAATGTGTTCGACTCCAAATCCCTTGATCTCCTTCGAAGTAGCGGGCAGACACTCAAGACACGAAAAGCTACTTCCAGAGTATTTGCCTACGGTATAAATACACCCCTACCAGTGCTAGGTGTTATCGAAGCCGAAGTAAGAGTCGGTCCCAACTCTTGCTCTACCGAGTTTCACATTGTCAACACGCACAGTTGCAACCTGCTATCTTTCGCAACTGCCACACAACTCGAGCTGATCTCCCTCAATGCGGACCATGTAACCTGCAACCTCCAACCAGATCAGCCACAGTGACCACCAACCGCGACTGCCATGACATATGATCAGATAATGCAACAGTATGGCGACTTGGTTTCTGGCATTGGGAAAATCAAAGATGTCAAGATCTCTCTCCACATCAACCCCGACGTGAAACCGAAGCAACAAAAGCATCGTCGTATACCCTTCCACACACGCAAAGATGTCGAGCGTGAGCTCCAGTGACTGGAAGATGCAGACATCATAGAGGGAATTGATGGTCCTACCCCATGGGTGAGCCCAATCCTTGTTGTTCCAAAGCCCTCAGGTGAAATCAGAATCTGCGTCGACATGAGAGAAGCCAAACGCGCAGTCCAACGAGAACGACACCCCATGCCTACCCTTGATGACATCATCACTGACCTCAATGGGTGTACAGTCTTCAGCACACTAGACATGATAGCATGCTACCACCAGTTTGAACTGGAAGAAGAATGCCGCAACATCACAACCTTCAGCACCCATGTCGGTCTCTTCCGCTACAAGCGTTTGATGTTTGGTATCAACGCTGCCTCTGAGATATTCCAGTCAGCCGTGGCACAACTTCTTACTGGCCTGAGTGGATGCAGGAATGTATCAGACGACATTATTGTCTACGGCAAAGATCAACAAAGAACACGATAGAAACCTGAAAGCTGTTCTTGACAGACTCCAGAGCCACAACGCCAGACTGAACAAGAGCAAATACAAGTTCGCACAACCCGAAGTTAAGTTCTACGGACACACGTTCAGCGGAGATGGCGTCGCACCAGACCCAAAGAAAATTGGCCCTCATCAATGCAACATCCCCAAGAATGCCAAAGAAGTCAAGTCTTTCCTCGGGCTAGCATCATATGTCTCACGATTCATCCCCAACTATGCAACGGTCACTAACCCCCTTCGCGCCCTTACCCATCAAGACTCCAAGTGGAAGTGGGAGAAAGAGAAAATCTCAGCATTCAACGAACTGAAAAGTATCCTGACAAACAACAAATGTCATGGTGTACTTTGACCCTCGCAAACCGACAGATATCATCGTGGATGCAAGTCCAGTTGGACTAGGCGCAATGCTGTCACAAGATGGAAAGATTGTCTCGTACCCCAGTCGTTCATTGTCAGATGTAGAATCAAGATATTCCCAAACAGAGCGTGAGATGCTAGGAGTGGTACGGGCCGTCGAGCGTTTTCATCTCTACGTCTTCGGTGCCCATTTCCGCATAATCACAGACCACAAGCCTCTCCTTGAAAGAGCAGCAAGCCAACTTTTGCCAGAATTGATCGCTGGCGACTGCGTACAATGTCATACAACTGTGACATTGTGTACAAGCCGGGAAAAGATGATGAAAACCCAGCTGATTTCATCAGTAGACACCCCGGATCCCAAGCTCCTAACAAGTCAGATGCAGAAGACTACATAAACTACATCTGTAACAGTGCAGTCCCAAAAGTTCTAACTCTAGAGGACGTCCGTGCAGAAACAGCAAAAGATGGCATCATGCAGAAACTGATGACAACCATCCAATCCGGAAAGTCACACGATTGGGATGATGTAGACATGCGTCCATACAAACCAGTTCGAAGCGAGCTTACAATCTGCAATGGTGCAATCCTGAGAGGAAACCGTTTAACGATTCCCACATCCCTGCAGCCCACCATTATCAAGTTGGCACATGCCAGTTACCAAGGAATCGTCAAGACTAAGAGCCTCATCAGAGAGAAGCTTTGGTTTCCAGGTATTGACAGAATGGTTGAAGACAAAGTGAAGCAATGCCTACCATGCCAAGCAACAACGACAAACAGCGCAGAACGTCCTGAGCCACTGAAGATGACACCGTTACCTTTCGCTCCATGAAAAGAAGTTGTTGTAGATTTCACTGGCCCATACGCATCCGGTGAATACTTACTTGTTGTCGTTGACGAGTATGGCAGATTCCCAGAAGTTTAGATTGTGAGTTCTACTTCAGCCAGAGCAACCATTCCGAAGCTGGATGCAATCTTTGCTCGGCAAGGGATTCCTGATATAGTCAAGACAGACAACGGGCCTCCATTTCATGGACATGAGTTTGCAAAATTCGCATCATATCTTGGTTTTACCCATCGACGAGTCACCCCACTATGGCCAAGAGCCAACGGAGAAGAAGAGCGACTAAACAGAACACTAGGAAAAGTCATACGCATCGCCGAGACTGAAGGTGTAAGCTGGAAACAACAGTTACACAAATTCCTTCGCCAGTACAGAGCGACTCCTCATTCCTCAACAAACCTATCCCCTAGCGAATCACTCAACTCTAGAAAGGTGAAATGTGAGATACCAGAGGTCCAGTCTCCCTTGCGCCCATACAGTCGCGATGACTCCTTGCGAGAACGAGATGCCCAGCAGAAATCGAAAATGAAAACACTTGCTGACACTCGCCTCTTTGCCAAACCGTCAAACATCCAAACAATCCAAACAATCCAAACACACCTCACCATTCAACCCCAAACCCTTCCAAGTCACGATGAGAAGAGGAAACATGGTGGAAGCCACAAGAGGAGACAAAGTAACCAGACGAAACGTCTTCCACTTCAAAAAGGTCCAAGCCCCACCCCTGACCCCCACACCCCAGAAGATGACAACAGTGATGACCCCACAGACGACATACCTGTAGTCACTGATCCACAGCCATCCCAAGGTCCTCAATCTCTCGTCAAACCTCCAGCAGTTCTTGAGGATAGTCCTAAACTGAAGTCCAGTCTTCGTCAATCCACACGAGTTCGCAGGCTTCCTGTGCGATTCAAGGACTATGTTCAGTGAACTCTATGCAGACCGCAATTTATTTGCTTATGCATCAAATATATACTAACTAGCCAATTACAATAATATAGCCAAATCACACTCTCAGTCAATTTTAGACAAAACCTTCTGAAGTTTCAAGGTTTCAAAGTTTGACAGTTTTAAAGTTCAAAATTTTAAAGTTAAAAGTTTCCAAGAAAAAAAAGGAATTTTGAGTTGTGTTTCAAAAAAAATAAAAAATAATAATAAGTTTGTTCGTGTTAAAAAAAAAGAACAAGAAGAGAAAGTTCCAAGTTCTACAAGTTTGTTAAAAAAAGAGAGAAAAGAAAACTTTATTTTGATCCTTTCAAGCACTCAAATTAAAGGAGACGACTTATTCTTATTTTGAAAATTTTATTTCATTTTATTTCTTCCAAACCTATCTCACTCGACCTTCAGTGCTCAACATAAAAACAATCTTAAATGTTTTAACAGACTCAGTTACTTCAAGCAGAAACCCTATTTTGCGACTTTTCATTTAAATCATCCACTGGCACACTTTTCCAAGTTTAAGTGTTATACCACTTATCTAAAGAAAGAGGGTAAATGTAGTGTAGTTGAACAGCGCCCTCTGTTGTTGTATGTCTTAGACCAGGCAACTGTATCACATGCGATCCTGAATAAAACAGTTACTCTCAAATCCGTGTCCATATTCCGTTCCAAACATCACAGAGGTAACTCCTAATTCGAGAGATTGATTTGGATCCAAATGAAAAAACAAAAAATGCCGATTATAATCAACCAATTAGTGAAACGTAACACACAACTTATAATGTATCTTATTAAATGACTCATCTTAAGTTTACTAATACATGTGCATACAAACCAGTAAGGATTGGAATAAAATAATCATTGACATCATAAATATAATTTAAAATTGTATGTCAATAAAAACTATCTGACTACATGCAAAATAAAATCAGAGTTGATTCCTCAAGTCAATAATCTTTATTAAAAAATACAAAAAGGGGTGGAAGTAAGTCAAACCACTGTTTATCTGGATACAGTGCTGAATACGCCCTTGGCATTTCAACATGAGCTAAAACTGAAATTAATTTACAACAAACCATCAAGAAACCATACAAAAGTTTGCAGTTAAACTTAAGCTCAAGACAAGCTAGACCGAATAAAAACCAAAAATGCACCGATTTACACCAATTTCAATCAATCTGTTTGCGCTTTCTGCAAGGCTACTCAATCGCATACAAATCAATGTATTTCCATAAAATAATATGACATTTAAGGGGAAATTAATTCAGACTAAACTTTTTCAAATTAATATCCAAACTGTTTCAATTTCAAAATGTAATTTCTTTTCCCATCATTGGGAATTTAATTGTGAATAATATGCATTTCTGGCCAATTAAACATTACGTGAAATCATTTGGAAAGAAAGACTTAGCATTATACACATGCATGATATATTCCACGTTTCAGTGATTTGGTGCAATTTTAATAAGGTTCTGAATTCATGGAGAGAATGACACGATTCACAGGTGAATTCGGCCAGTTCAGGATTGACATTTTTTCGTCGTATTTCGTGGAAAGAATTTCATTGTTATTAAATATAATTGTTAAAGGTCTAATATTTTGTTTTGATATATTTTTTTTGTAAACCGCGGCTGTGATGGATTTGCCTTAGCCTTTTTTTGGGGGGGGGGGGGGGGAATCATTGTTTGATGCGTTAAGTGTCTTCTGTGAGTGATGCCCGGACGGTGTTTGAGTTTTTGTCAGTGTTTCGATTGGGGTTTAGACTCGAGACTCCGGCATTCTGTCCCAGCTGCTTCGTCCTAGCTTGGGCCGTGTTACGCGCTGCTACCAAGCCCCACTGTGGATGCCTGGTCCGCTTACAAGGCATCGCGGCAACCTGGTGAGAGGCAAGAAATAAGAAAATCAGACCTGTTTAATTCGTTGTCTCCAGGCATAGCTTAAATGTCGTCTAAGAGGAAGGTATGACCAAACCAGTCCTTAAACAAGAAATCAATGCGCTGAGCACGCTGCAAAGGAAGATGTATAGAGACCTGCGCAATCAATATTGTAGGCCTACCACTTGCTCTGTGGTAAGTACATGTATATGCGAGACCGCGTCGTTGGGATGTTGGTTTGAGTATGTAAACACCGGCAATCGTGGACAAAATTGGGGCGCAAACAGTACGTACACGATTGACCGAACGTCCACGATCTCAAATCGTGTACAAAACCAATGAGAGCTGTCGCTAAAAAGTTAAGAGTACAAACAAAGGAAAGAGGATTAGGGACAATGGGGCGTCCACGATTGCCGGCATTTACACACGGGCGTGTGTGTGTTGGTGTAATATACCATTCCTCGTGTGCTTGGCCCAGGATGCAACCAGCCTGCAGCAATGCCTGCCTCATACCAGCGATCCTCTCTATATCAGCGCCCCTGACAGCGTCCTCAATCAACATAGTCCGGTAGCCAAGACTCTGAGCATCCGTAGCAGTCTGACCTACGCAGAAGTCGTAAGCCAGACCACAGACGTAAACGTCAGTGATGTCTCGCTTTGTCAAGTCAGCCATCAGTGCGGTGTTGATGCGTTTGGTTTCGTCCTTAAATATCGAATAGCTCTCTACCTCAGGATTAGTGCCTTTCAGGTGAATCAGATGGTTCTCTGCTATCTGTGGATGATAGACAGTTCAGAGGATTTTGTTAGTAGAATCTTAATTCGATAACAACTAAGTTTTGTAAGAAAGGAAAAGTGGATTTTTTTTTCTTTTTAATACTATTGTTTATAGGTACATTCCCGTAGGCCAACATGTAAAGTGGACACTGCCATTTTTTGCGTAGTTACGTTAGAAAATTACCCTCAATTAACTATGATTTACCTTTTCTGAAAAGTTTTCGAATTCACTTAAAGCGTCAGTGTTTTTTTGTATTGAGCACCCCGAAAAATCAGCTCTTTCACTGTGACGTCGCAGAGAAATCCCTCCCAGATCAGATCAGATCAGCAAATTTGTTTTCGAATTATGGCCGTCCCACTTCTCAATTCCAACGGTGTCAATGTGTATCATTTTTCTCACATACTCTTACTTTTCTCTGCGCAACACATGAAATAATGTGCTGACCTCGACATCTTGCTAATGATTGGTCAATACTGTGATATTAATATTCATGAGTAACAAAACTGGTCCCTCACATGGATTCCCCGAAACTGTCTTCATTCGAATAGGCTCTAAAGAATAATTTTTAAAACGATCATATGTCAAATAACCAGTGCAACAACGTGTAAAAAATTCCTGAAATAAAATGAGGAGGACTTAAATGAAAGTTGCAACTGGTAAATTTGCCCAAAAGGTTTGCGCACAAATTGCCTGGGTTGTTTGTCATCCAATCCCAAGATGCATTGCGAATATCGAAAAGGTTTCGACACGAGATCAAAATATTGCACACGACCAAACTATTGTGACAGAAAAACCCAGTTAAGCTAAAATGCTCACGTCAAATCTAATTAGAACCGGCCAGCCGACCCCAGCAAGCTCGGTGCCGGGTCCAGTGGTTTTATCACATCTGCACTAGTGAGTATAGAAGGTCATAGTTCGAATCCCACCCGAACAAGCATATCTATGAATGTTTGTCTTGAATTGATTCTACCATGGCTATGCATACATTCCAGCGATCATGTTCATGAGGAAGGCTGACATTTACCTTGGCCTTTGACCGTATATATAGTCGTTGCTATGCCGACAAAATATGGTATCAAGCCAGAGACATTCGCATTTACATACAATGAGCTGATCGGCGTTGCACAATGCATCCCTTATTATTTTACGTCAAAACACATGCAGGAAGGTTCCACACACTGACACAATAGCTTTGCCCTATAATATAATACAAATAACAACATCATCGCAATCGGTTAGGCTTTTCTGCAGGCCTATATGCACGTTCGCTGCAACGACAGGTCACGATATTTCTTTGTCAATGTAATTCAGTGTAATTCATTTAACCATCTTTAAGAGTTGTAAATTTTGAGGAGTCACTATTTCTGATATGTACTTTAATAAGTATACGTTTAGAGATAATCTTTAAATGTAAATCAGATTTGATTTTCTGAATCTTTAACTAATCCTGTTGTAATTTCAATGAGGAGGCTTTAATCAGATGCTATTGTATATTGTGTATTGATTGTTCACCCTTGTAAACTTCTAAAGCACCATCATGGGGCGTATGGTGTTAAAGTAGGGAACTTGTGGGGATCTGCCCCTTGTAGCTAATACGCTCTATAGTTTATTCTAGAGCACGTTGTCGCATAGCAACAGGAGTTGTCGGTTCACTCCGTACTTTTATGTAGTGTTCCCGCGCCTTTGCAGGGAGCTAGTTCTTGCAATTTTTGTAAGGTTAATATTATTCTGCACATTTGGGTGGGGATAATTATGTAGTATTATTCTACAAATTAGTTGGAATCTTTTTCATAATATTGATTAGATTAAAAAATCACCTTATTGAAATAATGATTATTTGTGCATTTTAACGCGCATTGATATGTAATGTAGTCTACCGTGCGATTGGGTTCCAAGGTGTCTGTCCTTTTCCATTTTGGAACGAATGAAGCTGCATTGGTGATACGATACTTCGCCAGAAAAATGTGTGTGGCCTGCGCACATGGTACAGTGGTGCCTGTAGCAATTTGTTCGCGCGTAGTGCGTGTGATTGCGAGGATGCTCGCAAGGCAGTCGTACGTGTTCTCAATATTCGAGCACTTGCGAAACACTCGCGAAACACTCGCGCTTGGACTCTCTGTATACATGTACTTTACATAATAGTGATTATTGTAGTTATTATTTTAATCATTGTAATTATTATTCTACGATAAAATATTGTATTTCTGTAATTTCTAAGGATTCTTATATTCTGTTTAATTACAGGGTGTTTGTTTTGTTCATCTAAACTGATAAATAAAGCCGAAGTGAAGCTAAGACAAAGCCTCTAGTCTGGTTACACCTGGCCTACCCCTTACCAGGGATTCACTTCCCAAGCCTACGAGGTCCAGGCCTTGTACCCCAAGGCGGCGTGCAAACGCCCCCACTACATTCATATTTACCACGTTTTACCATGGGCTAAGTTCTCTGCAAGTTACCGTCTGATGCTGCACTATAAAAAAAAATAGCACTATGTATATGCTCGAATCTATTTTTAATTGATAAGAGTCAGCCGAATGTAATGCAAAATAAAGGAACTCTCGCAAAAAAAACACACCAAAGATTGTTCAGAAAATTGTACAAACTTATAGTTTGCCTGTTGTTTTCACAACTGAGATTTCCAGTACTCGGCCTCTATCGTCTCATGTGTCATTTGCCATAAAATTATGGCCACATGAATTATAGACGAAACTGTTACACGAGAAGCACTGGGTGTGTTTTGTGTTACACCCAGTAGCGTAACTAGGGGAGGGGGGGGCACGTGCCCCCAGCCGCGGATGTTCAGCCCCCACCCCCTGGTGCCCCTCTCCCATTTGAAATCTTGCATTGAGCAAAACTTGCCTTCAGGGGCACCCCTTGAAAAATATTTCCACCCCGGATGCCCCCTCAGAATGTTAACCCTAGTTACGCCCTTGGCCACACCAAGCATTCTGACAATTAGACCATGCTTTTTGACACATAGACTAGTCGCGAGCAGATTTAAGACATGTACAGGCTCATGATGATTACGAGGCTTACCTGTCGCGGTCGAAGTGGTTAAAACAGGCATTTCTCTCATGATTATTCTGCAGATGATAATCTTCGAAGCTGTTCCAACGCGCCATGCATCCTGCAGGCGATTTGTGATCAAAGAGCAAACTTGATGTATGTTGCTGCCGGCCACAAGTCGACTTCCTTCGTCATTGCGAAAGCGTCAATAACAGCTGAGCATACGCATACACTAAGTTATGGTATTAAAAATGTAACCCAGTGCATTCTAATAACAAGACATATAGCCATGCAGGGGACCAAGTTGGTCAAGTCTGCGACTTCAGATTGCCACAGTAGTGCGCAAAGGCATAACAGGTAGCCATAGCCACGACTGCATGAGAGAAAGAGAGAGAGAGGGGGGGGGGGGGGGGGAGAGGCTTGGTCTTCCGCTCTCTGACTAATGCTACGTTCCCATACGCTTTTCAAACTTTCCAAGGCCAACACAAGCCCCCCTCAAAAAAAAAAAAAAAACATGTGCCAGTGAATGTTTTATTTGTTCAAACGTGAAAACAGTTCTATTGTGACAAGAAAGCTGCATTTTGTTCACAGAGTACAGCCAACTTGTCAAGGTTTTCCAATGCATTAAAATTTGAAAGAAAGTTTTCCAAAGAAGAGGACAAAGGTGAAATAGTTATTGTGTGACAAGCACGTATGCATGTAGACCGTGAAATAGTCGCCTGACACGCGAAGAAAAGGCACAATCTGTCAACTCATGTCTGCACGCGGAGTTCAAAGCCAATTGGTTTACCGGGCGCGTTTGGACTCGTAGTTTTCAGACCCGTAGAGAAAAACTGGGATGACACAAGTCCTGTATTGCTATTCTGGTAGCGAGTTTGAACCTCCTCAACTTCCACACTCTGTGTATAGGCTGTTCATGGCTGATGAGGCGAGACCTAATCTCCTTAGAGTGTCAGGCTCACCACATTCTGTGTTAGAGATCTTGCTGCCAAGGTAGATGAAGTCGTTGACAGCTTTAGTGGATTGTCCGTGCAGGACTATGTTTGCAGGTATGTTTTCCCCGGGTATGTCTTGGAGATTGGTTTTCTGCCATGAAATCTTGAGGCCAAGGTAGGATATCTCTTGCCGAAACAGATCGAGCGTGATGGAGTTGGTTGTATGGTCGGTTAGAGCAACGTCGTCTGCATAGGTGAGGTCATAGAAGTTGAACTGACCGATGGAGATTTCCGCATTTGCCGTTGCTCGCTCAAGGATCCTATCCATGGCACAGCAAAAGGGGGATGGAGCCAAGATACATCCCTGTCTTACCCTTGATCTTAAAGGAAACTCGGTGAGGTGCTACTTCCTTGGCGGACCTTCGCGGTGGTGTTATTATGGAGATCTTTAATGAGGTTAAGAAGATGTCCAGGAACCCCGTTGCCTTGAAGAGCTATCCAGAGGGCATTTCTGTCAACCAAGTCAAATGCTTCAGATCGACGTAAGCCACATACAGGGGTTGATTGAATTCCCGATGCAGTTCATACAACAAACGAAGGGCAAGAATGGCGTTGACCGTGGAGCGCCCAGCAGTGAAACCGGAGGGTGCTCACCTGTAAATAGGCCTAAACCCATCCGCCGAGCTCATGAATAAAAGTTATACCCTCCAAATATTCTAAATTAGAGAGTTCTGAGAGCCATAACATTGGGGTATTGAAGAGATATGGCAATGAACCTCTGGCCCGGACTCGGGACTTCCAATTCTGAGCATTTTGGATACAAATGGGCTCGAAAGTGGCGCTATTTTGCCATGTTGTGGAGGGATCGTTTTCAAGATGGCTACCGTTCCGCTTTGGGGAAAATAGGGGTCGTCTTCTTTGGGCGAGAATTTCTCGAAAAGTCAATGGTCAACCCACCAAAGAATGAAAAGAAATTGAAAGATGACATGTCGATCATCATTTTTCTGTGCAGCTTAAATACCTGTGAGAGTTCTGAGTATTTTAAAAAGAATTTTGAAGTATGGGCATTTGGCACTAGCGGCTATGGGAATTTTTTTTGCACTTCTGCACCCCGGACTGCCAAGGTCATCTGTGTTTTGTGAGCAGAGGGTCAAGCTAGACGTGCCAGTAATACATGAGCAAAGACTTTCTCGGGGACAGAGAGAAGTGTGATAGGTCTGTAGCTGCTGCATTCGGTGCGGTGGCCTTTCCCTTTATATAGGGTGATGATGTAATATTCTCGAACGTAATATTACTATAATCGATTCAGAAGATGTATGTATTCTTGAAGATATCTTCAAGTTGTCTTGACAAACCTCAGGTTTGATGAGCTTCAAATCCACGAAGTTGCTTACTGGCACAGTTACCCTATTAAAATGTTATGGAAAAATCATGTGAACAATGATAACGTTGTGATATTTAGCCCAGCAATTTCTTTTCAATAATTCTGGGAATTTCCTTGAACTTTTTCAAGTCTCCCACGTTAGGCAACCCTTCACTAATTAGGCCAATTAACAGACACCTCGTTTCCCCCGGTTTTTATTTGCTGGGCTAAATATCACAATGTTATCATTGTTCACATGATTTTCAATAAGGTTTCAATAGAGTAACTGTGCCAGTAAGCAACTTGGTGAATTTGAAGCTCATCAATTCTCAGGTTTGGCAAGACTACTTGATGATATCAGGAGACAAGGTAAATGCACCCAATTTTGGGGTAAAATAGTAGCCATTTTGGATCGTTAATATTTCCTCATAATTATTCGGTCACTTATGTACTGAAGAAAATCTTATTTAAGTAAAGGTGTGTAAGCAGAATCATCAAAATAAACTTTTCAAAAAATAAAGAAATAAAGAATATACCTTAAGATGGGAATAAATATATTACACGGCAGGAATTAACAAATATTAATGTGCCCCTCGAGCATAAAATGTGCCCCCTCGAGATGAAAACAAAACTGGCCCTAAAATTTCGGATAATTTGTTTTCAGTAATCATTTCCCTAAATGGTATAGAGAGTTCTGCTATGAACGAGGAATATGAAAACCAAGCCCCAAAACCCTTACAGTGTGCCCTGAAAATGGGCACATAATGCGTAGTTTGCATACTGGCCGGTTTTGAAGAGTGCCCCCTATTTTGGAAGATGGTAACCCCCCCCCCCCCCCCCCGCACGGATGCGCCAAAAAAAAAAAAAAAAAAAAAAGACTGGATACGCTGCTGGACTGACGGACGATGCCTTTTAGTGAGCAAGTGCCCCTTTTTGATGATGCCCCCCCCCCCCCCCGCTGCATTTCTCGGCTCTTACCCACCCAATATAGTCAGAAGTCCATCTCTTTAGAAAGGCGATCTTTCTCCCACTGTACCTCTACTCTGGAGAGATCAGCTAATCAAGAACAGAATACTTTAGAGGCTGTCAGAGAAGGGGCGCAGCCGAAAAGTGATAGTGAGGTTACCCCTAAGGGTAGGGATATATTATGTACGAGTTGGCCATTTTTGTCGAATTCCCTTTGTTAACTGTTGAATGGGATGGCGCCAGAATATTTATGCAGCCTATTTTACTGTCTTTTTTTTTTAAATCCGGCTTAAAACATTAGGGAATGTTTAATTACAAATTTTAAATTATTCATTGAAGCGGACTTGAATTAATTAGTAATTTACTTGCTTTCAGTTCTCTTCGCAAGTTCCGAAAATGAAGATTTTATCTCACTTTCAATTCAATATGACCGACTCGTGCAAAAGGCCCATAGTCGGACAGCAAGAACTCTCTATGCCAAATTTTTGGTTTTTTTTTTACTGACACATGCAGTTATTGTGGTTTTTTTTAGGGACATAGGGATATCGAGTTTGGCCATTTTCACTTTCCTTTAGGCGCTCCATGATATTAGCCCTAGTAGCCATCATTTGTGAGTGTAAGATCTGTGCAATATTCCTTTTCATTTTTACAAGGTCCCTAGTTTGGCTTGAATTTGAGCATCACATAAGGCCCTTGAATGTGCAATTTTTCCTAGCTATAACATGCTGTTATATCGGGCCATTTGTTTTGTTTTTTTAGAATTTTTTTCTCTCTTTTTTTCCTCCCGATGGTGGGGTTTTATGTGTTAATTGCTAGCATTCTGTGTATTTACATGTTAAATTTCTCCCTTTTTAATACATGTTCCACCCACATTGCCCTCTTTATAGCTTTTTCCTCCGTCCTGTTGGCTGAAATTTCCCTTTTTTTTTTTCTTTTTTTTTTACCTTGCCAGGCCCTTTCAGGTCTCCCCCTGTTCCTACGCCTGAGTCCTAGGTCCCCCTCCTTCCTCTTTACTACTGCAACATTGGTGTATGTAAATGTATGTGTTCGGAATGTGTACATGTTTGACATTTTCTGTGTGATAATGTAAAAAATTTAAATGTTTTATTAAGGGAATAAATGTGTGCTCGAGAAGTTTTAATTACTCTGTTTCAGACCGCTTAGAGTCTGGGTGCTGATAAATACCCGCGCCCGCAACTGTGTTGCGTACGCGCGCGTCAGTCTCACGCGATGGGGGTTGAGCGCATGTGCAGTGCTCAATTGTTAAAAGCTACCGCGGCAGCACCCGATTTCACCAAACTCTTCGTAACTAACGATGCATCGCAGCGCTGCGACGCGTCGTAACTCTACGATGCGTCGCAGCTGCGACGCGTCCTGCGATCCATTTCACTAAACACGTCGTAAGTGCGACGCGTCGTAGGTGTATTTATAGCACAACTCGGTGACTGTTTTATGTCTTTAGTCAGCGTACAGTAAATAGTCGTCTGATATTCAACAAAGAGTTGTCGGATCCCAGCTCTTTAGCTTCTTTGAAATTTCAACTCTAATATTCCGGTCTAATTCATAATTATTCAATGAATTTTCTATTTACAACTTTACACACACTGCCTCGGTATTATAATCTCGTTAATGTAATGTTTGTGGCATAAAACTGGCTTAGAAAAGCCTCTTTAAAATTTCGCGATGACCACTAGACACATCGTAACTTGCGACGTGTTTTAAGCCGTTGTCAAGGAACTTACGACGCGTTCAACACATCGCAACTTTCGTGAAATGGAAGATACGACGAGTTGCGACTCGTAACTCGAGTTGCGACTTGTCGCAGCGCTTCGTGAAATCGGGTGCAGGTCATAGGTCAAGACCGCCTGCCGTGTCTGTCAGACAGAGGCTCTATGCCCTATACCGAGGCTACCTTGATGGAGGTCTACCGGTACGGTGTATCAGCGCCGGTTGGATTACCCAAATCGACAACAAGGGACATGACCTTTCGTAAGTGAAACTACTCAATTCATGATTAAAAATGCAAAATGGTCGAAGGTTCCTGAAAGTTATTATTTAAATCTCGTCTTTTACATATTTTAGGTATGTAGCATTCACGAAGTCATTTCAGCGCCTATCGTTGTACGAATAAAGATACAACGATTTGTATTTGTTTAAATTGTTGACCTATTCCCTTTTCTTTTATCTTTTAGGCGGATTTAAGATCCCAAAGAATACCATGGTTATGGTCAACCAGTGGGCTGTTCATTACAACCAGGATCATTGGGACGAACCTTTCAAGATCAAACCAGGTGAGGAGTTTAAGTAGGCCTAAGACAGAGGCGGATTCCAGGTTTGGTTGAAGAGGGAGGTTTACCTGTCTGGGAAGGGGGGGGGGGGCGGGGGGGGGGGGTTAGCAGGCATGTGCTATTTAGTTCATTTTTATATCTTTTGGCACCAAAGGGGCTGGGTCAAACCTGTAAGAGTTGAGGTCAGGAGCCCTATACCTACTAGTCTTGATTCCATTCATACGCCCCTTTTCGAAAACGCCGTTTAAAAATAAATGCCCTCATTGTTGCTTTCTCACACCAAATTGTCACATGCTTTGTATGCATTGTATGTGGTGCTAGCTAGTCTGATTTCGACGGGCGTATATGCCTCCGAAATTAGTTCCCACGGAACACTATACAGGTTTTCATGGAAGAGTTGTGTGCACTCTTGAATATATACTCAGCCAAAAAGAAAGTCCCCCCTTAATACCCTTTTGTCTAACTCAAAAACTACTGGGAACATCTTGCTCAAATTACGACTGATCAGTACAGATATTCCTTAGCAATCCAGCCTTTATTTGGCCCAAAACAGTGATAATGTGTACAAAATTATGCAATTTATGACGAATAGTGCCAAAAAAAGTTGTACTTTTCTATATGTGCAGAGTGAGTGGGAACCACAAACTGCACGTAAACAAAAGTGCAGCTATTTTTGGTGTCATTTGTCATAAATATTGCATAAAATGTGTACACATTATCACTGTTTTGGGCCAAATAAAGAGTATGGCTGGATTGCTAAGGAATTTCTGTACTGATTACTTGTTATTTGAGCGAGATGTGCCCAGTATTCTTTTAATTAGATAAAAAAGTATTGGAGGGGGGGGGGAGGACTTTCTTTTTTGGTTGAGTGTAAGTGGGTTCTGAGCACCTGTGGTTTGTTTCATGAGGTCCTGATGGTGTTGACTGTGTCGCTAAGGATACTGCAAGAAGTCATGTTATTTTTTAATTATGTCTCAACAAACCAAATTCGTCCCGGATTGTAAGCAGAACGTTTCTTAGACGCCAGCGGTCTGCAGTTGATCAAGCCCACAGAGAGCTACATGCCCTTCGGCCTCGGTCGTCGCTCATGTCTTGGAGAGAACTTCGCCAAGGGTGAGATCTTCATTCTGTTCTGTTGGCTCTTCGGTCGCTACTCCTTCACCAAGGTGCCTGGCAGGGAGGGAGAGTCACTCATAAGGAAGGATGAGTCTCAAGGGCTGACACAATATCATCCATATCCCTATGAGGTTATAGTGCGGAAATTGTAAATATATGACGCAATACCAGATCTTGTCGCACGGTCCCGTTTTCCGATCATATTAAAAACAACTGACAGTACACGAAAAAGGTGTAATTTCTTCAGTCGGACATTATGGCAAACAAACAAAAATAAAGCGATTTCCCTTAAAATAAGTTTATAACATGATTTAGAGCAGGCTTAGTCCCCGAATTACAAATAATGCAATGTTGTGGAAATGTGGTGTATAATGCAACTGATGTATCTCAATAAACTGCTAGCCTATCTAGATAATAAAATATTCGTTTTTCGTGTGATTAAAGATGTACTCCTCATGCTATATCGAATTCTCCCCGAAAGATAGATTCGTTTTTAATTGCTTTTTTTACTTGCAATATAAATGTTATTTACTTTGAATGAGAAATGGAACGAAAAAAAATAACTAAAGATTAGTCATTGAATTATTTCTGTATTAAATTCGAATTATTTGCGGCCCAACAGCAAAAACAGGGTTCTTTTGCGCACAACATGAAAGCCTTTTTTTGGAGGCTTACAGACTCCCCAAATCAAAGAATTTTATTTTGTTAAAGCTATAGTCCATCATTTGCAGCCATCCGAAAAGTAACTGGCGTAATTATTGTTGAAAAACAAACTTGATTGAAAGATAGTAAGGGGACTAAACTCTCTGTGAAATTATTCTTTCTGGGAAGCTGTCATTTTGAAGTAATTAACGAAAGAAGGCATTTCCAACGGTGACTCTTAAGAAGCACCGTAGGAAAATTTAAATTAGTAGCTCGTTTTGTTATTCAGCGCAGCGCGCACAAGTATTGGAACGACGCACATCCGCGCGCGGTTGTTATAATTCGTCGGATCAGTGCGCTACGTCGCGTATAGCTGCAATTCAAAACATGATTCAGTAACTTTTTATTGGAAATTGAGATCTTAGAATGCTGTTTTTCTAGGAATGTACAGCTGAAGCTTAGCTGAAACGTCATCAGGTTAGTTGCTTAGTATCCTTCATTAGATTTTGAACTCTTTTGTTGCTTCAAACGAACAAAATGCACAAATTACAAATGATGGACTGTAGCTTTAAGACAAAACAAACACATTGGCAATGGACCGATTCAGTAAGCCCCGCCCACTGCGCACTGGGCAAATGAACAAGTGCTCCTCTCCAATGCCACGCTGCATTTTCCTGCCGCGTGCATCATACGCGCGTACGTGCACGCATGTCGGACTTTTGTGCACGCACGTCGGGCCTAAATCACGGCTGTGATTGGTCTAAACACCATGGGGCAGTGCTTACTGGATCGGTCTATTCATTGAGAGAAAACAAATGTGTTTGAAGAGCGCACCACTAAAAGGAGGAATTGTGAAACAGTTTGATTACAGAATAATTGTTTCTGTGAAGAAGAAAAAAATCGACCAAAATACAAAAGTGGTTAAAGACGTGTCCCCCGTCACCATGTTTATTTCCACAGGACCAATTATAATCAAACTGTTTCACAATGCCTCCTTTTAGTGGTGCGAAGAATTCTTTACAACTGTAAAAAAAATATATATATAGATGAAGATGTTTTTAATGTCTTAATAGGCTATGTTAAATAGATTTGTCATAGTGGTAGAGTTTAAGAAGAAAAAGAATATAGTTCTTGCTGCTGAGAGAATATTTTGGTAGAGGACTGAGAGAGATAAACAAGGAAAAGCGAAGAAAAATCCTGTGGTAGGAATTGTGGTCTTTTTTAGTGGAGTAGGAATTTTTCTGGACAGTGCCCCGGCGAAGTCTACGAAAATAATGTAATAAAATTGAACCTAGTGCAGCGGTAAATTTTGTAAAAACAAAACAAAACAATTGAAACAGTTTCATAAGGGGGGGGGGGTCAGTGGTGGTAATCCCCAATATACCTTTCCTTTTGGACTTCTTATTACAAACTAAACTAGAGATTCGCGTTTGTTGTTACAAACGCAGAGTGGTCGGGTAGACAACAATTTTATGAAACACTGTCCAGTTAAGTAATGAATATTTCTATCTCAGAAAAAAAATGAGTATCAGGAAATTCAATCCTTTCCAGGATAATCAATTTAATTTCAGTAAACATTCAATGTACACATACAAGTTATTTCTGGCTTGATAACGTCATTAGTCAAAAACGGGAAGGAAATACTGATTTAGTTCGGAGTGGATGTTCATTGTGAAGTTAAATAACGTGTGAACATTTGGAAAATGTAAATGTATGTATTTGTAACACCGAACTTCCGGTTTGATGACGTCACAGTTTTGAGAGCAAAAGGTGAACATTGTAATGGTATCGTTATTTGGGCTTACCAATAATATATATGTCTGTAGTAAAATGCTTCCGCTTTGAGTTATATTCAGTTTTTATTGCACTACCGGTAACACCGGAAGTAAAGGTCAAGCGGTTTTGTGTCTGGGACAAGAAATGTTTCTCATGGCATAGTCTACAACCTCACGAAAAAATGAACACGAAACTCTATTTAGTTCAAAAGATATAGCGCAAACTATTTTGTCAAATTTTGCCCTTAAATCACTTGTATTTTGATACCTGATGACGTCATGATGACGTAACAAAATTTATAAATCTTCGTAACATGGAACAAGTTCACAGTATGTTTTATGATCATACCATAAACCGTTCGGAAGAAATTTTGCTTTGTTTTGATTTTAAGCTAACGTCTTCATTTTGAATTCACCTTACTTTGACCTTCCGGTAGCCCCGAAAGGAAAGGTCAAACGACTTTGACTCAATCAAAAATGTTTATCAAGGTATTGTCCATCAGATCATAAAGTATGAACGTGATCGTTCATTTTGTTCATGAGTTATAATTGACAGAAAATTGTCATATTTTGACCAAAAATCGCTTGTAATTTGACACCCGGTGACGTCATCGTGACGTCAGAGTAATATGCACCACTTGGGATGAGAGTCGATATATATTGAAAGTTACAAGTTCATATCATAAACCGTCTAGGAAAAAACCCGCGGAGAAGTATTGTCCGGAAAAAAAAAGAAACAAAGATTAACCGGAACAACTCCAAAGAGTGGTCGGGTTGTGCCCGACCACTCAATGACAGTTTTTCTAAGATGGATGCGCCAAGACAAAGTACAGGTCGGGTTCCAACAATACACATGTTTTTTAATTTATATTTGCGACCATTCCTACAGGTTGTTAAGGCTACAGGTCAAAATGGCATCGTTCGAATTACCCGGGATTACCCCCAGATTACCTCTCACCTGCAGTTCTGAGGGTAATCCCGAACAGTAAAAGTAGCACCGATGAACATAAGAAAAAAAAAATTCTAATTTTTATTCTTGGTCTGACATATGCATTATTTCAACCGAAATATGTATTCTAAAATATTTTTTTATTTATTATTTATTCCTTATGTTATCTGGGTGGCCCATTCAGTGGAATCTACTGGTCTCCTTTGGAATGTTAAAAGTATTTAAAAGACAGTATGGGAACACCATGGGGCTATTCTGGACAACATGTGTATGCCATTGAAACCATAATAGACCCATTGCACTCCAACAAGATGGGATTTATTGTCTTAATCGGCCTTTACGATTTGATTAAATGCGTTATCATGATTAAATGGTTATCATGATTTTTTATGCTGACCACGGAAAACTCATGGGAACACTATTGCGACCACAAAAACACTATGCGGAATTTCACCAAGGGAACACCATGGGGGTAAACATTATTGGATACCATGGGAACACCATGAGAACACCATAGGATATTTTTCGAGGAAGGTGTTAATTATGAGTGTTCTAATTGCAATTTTTAATTTTTTCTCTGTTTATAAGTGAAGTCAAATGAAGCATAGGCCTACAGTGTTTTTTTTATGTGGAAAATATGCAGATTAAAGAAATGTGGATAATTTTAATTCAGTTGTTATTATGACTGGAAACATTTATGAAAATTGGGAACATGGTGATAATAAATGGTACAACTGAAAAGTGGTATAGGAGCAATAATGTTGACATTGGTCATTGAGTGCTTAAGAGTTAAGACACTTCCTACGTGAGACAATCCCCATCAAAGTCTCGTGATGGGCGCTGATCGATCCCATTAGGTGAATAGTATAAATCACATGGGCTAAAAATGTAATTAACAATTGTGGACTGCTGTGATATGTGAGATATGTGGTTTTAAACACCCGAGGGTGCTATGTGCCCCGAGGGTGTTAAAAACGTCATATTCCACATCACAACAGTCAACAATTGTTTTGTTATACCTTTTGGATTCTTTGGATTTTGATGTAAAAATCACGAAAGCAAACAGCAGTAAACACAACAAACATGACAATCGAAACTCACAATCATGTCGCGTGCTCGAAACAGATGATCGTCTGCTAGTTCACTGCTCCCACTCGTGTGAAAACATGGTGAAAATAGTGCGAGTGGGTACCAACGATAGAAGCGTTTCACACCGTACGTACCCTACACACAAAGTCATGGCACAGTGTGCCATGACTGTTTATAAACTTAACACGTGATTGTTCTAGGCCAATGAAAATACTGTAGTAAAGACAGAGGTATAACAATTGTAAATATCTTATAGGAAAGTTGCTAAGGAAAAGCACAGTGGGAAAGTTTTTGAATCCTTTGGGCAATGACGTGGGATTCTGAAACCTTTCATGGGTCCCATGTGAAAAAAAGGCCATTGAAAAAATCATAGAAAAAAATCCCATGCTACGAGGTGGCCAATTCACCATGAAATTCCCATGGGCTCCCATGGGAATATATCCCGTGGGAAGTACATGGAAGATTTTTGCAAGGGAATGTACTCTGTGAGAACCACGAGGCAGGGACCTTCATAGAGGGGTATTTTGATATCGTTAAATTTGAAATGTGAAATGTCGTATTGTCTTTCTGATCGATTATTTGTGAGGTGTCCCCATCAAACATCAGTCTGTACAGGCAGATAGCCTGACAAGTTACTAGTTTCCGCCTGTATAGGCAACCAGAATGGTGCTGGTCGGTGCACAATGAATCAAGGACATCAAGGTGGCTTCCGTGCAGGCATTGTGTGGTTGATTATTTATATCCAAACTGCAGGGATTCGCTCGTATACCCATCGTACCAACCGAGGGTGCATTGAATGGACCTTTTTACTAATACACTGTACATGTACATTTAAGGAGCGAAAGCGGTCCCGTGCGCACGAGGGCGAGGAAATCAGCTGTAGCCCGAAGCACACGGTTATTTTTTCCACTCGTGTGGGAAGGAGCCCAGTGCTGATTTCCTTAGCCCTCCTCCTGCGCACGGGACGAAAGCAATTTTTAAAGTTTTTATTTGTGTGCCCCAAAAAATCCACTTGGGCCAGAAAGTAATGCCTATGACGATTTAAGGGGCTTTTCCCAAGCAAAAACAGCGAAACAAATCCTGGCGAAATGGAGAGAAAATGACCCGAATATGTGGACCCCTTACATGACATGCCGCTTTCGCGTCTTGCCGCCAGACCCATTTATGTGCAGGCTCACAGTTTTGAATTTGTTAGTGAAAAAAGGTCCATTATAGTTGAAAAAGTTACATGAAGAAAACGCGAAGTTACGCAAATGTAATTCTTTTGAATACAATCATTGAAGTGCATCCTAATGTGTTCAATTAACTTTTAAGGCAGATGCTTCAGTATTACAGATGCCTCAGCACCAAAAGTGTCCAGAGTTGTTTCTGTGGCCATCTTTCCGTTTTGGAGTGTCATAGTTTATCCATAGTCTAACAGTCAGTTGTTATTGAATTCTCGATACAATGTTCCATAATTATGCCTACTTTGTTATAGGTTTTCCCTGTTATTTTAACACTTACGTCTCGATAGTCCTTAGTACCATTGGTCCGAAATCCCATTGGTCCGACTTCCCATTGGTCCGCAGTCCCATTGGTCCGACGAAACATAATACTGTGAAGTTCCACTGGTTCAGGTTGACTGACCCTAACCCCAACCCTAACCTTTACCCTAACCCTAATCATGTGGGGTGTAGGACCAATGGGACTTCGGACCAATGGGACGTCGGACCAATGGGATGTTTATACCAATGGAACGCATCTACAGCAATTGGCCGTCGAACCAATGGGACGTCGGACCAGTGGGACGTCGGACCAGTGGGACGTCGGACCAGTGGGACGTCGGACCAGTGGGACGTCGGACCAGTGGGACGTCGGACCAATGAGACTTCGGACTTCAGAGACGTCCCCCATGCACAAACGGGTATCCTGTCTTCTGAGGCACTCCCTGTACCCCCAGCCTTGTCTTCTGTGATGTACCTGCATCGCAGGATCCGCAATCTTTTGGTGAACTGTTCTTGTCCCCGTCGCCTTCACCAATGGTCTGAAAGTCAATGTCACTGCCTGGGGCTGCTTTCGCCGGGAGATAGTGCCGCTCCGGCTCGGTTGCCACCACCTGAACATGAAGGTCAGTGTCTTGCAGTCGATTGTTCGTGGTCTGAGTTGCTGTCCCGGCAGTACGGCGGTCCATGCTCCGGCTGATCGGAATGTTCATTTTGAATGTTTTAACGTGTATACTGTAAGTTTATATATTTAACTTTCTGTATTGTAGGTATTTGGAATTTTATGTGCAAAGCGAGAAGGAGAATTTCATGCTGACATGATGAATAAATTGAATTGCATTGAATTGAATTATACCGGCGGAGCAGTCAACGACGATGAAGCAGAACACATCGATGGCGATGTCCGCAATGATGGAGCTTTCGATGTACAGCTGGTGTTCTCAATCGCAGTTGGATCAGGACTGGAAAAACACCCCCAGGACAGCCGCCATGCTCGGCGGTATCACAGGACGGGGCTCCACATCAACAGTAGGGCTATCATCGCTTGCAGCGGCCTCCCTGCTTGCGGGTCGCCCCATTCACGCAACAACCCGGCCTTACATCAACTTCTGTCCCCGGACCACTGAAACGGGCTTGCTCGTTGTTCAAGGCTTCATCATGATTCGCACTGGTAGGTAAAGGTCGAGTAAAACGCAAGAAAAGGGGACATACCGACGGTATTTCTAACTCTGTATGAAGATGTCGAACGTCATGGTCCAGTGATTACGTTGTTTGCCTCATGTACAAAGGTGCGTGGGTTCGAAACCTGCCGGGAACATGGTATTTGTGCCCTTGGGCAAGACACTTAAGGCAAATAAAAAAAAAACATGTTTAGCGTCCTGCCTCTTTGACAAAAAGGAAGGAGGAGGCCCTTTTTTTTTTTTTTTTTTTTTCAAAATGGCCGCCCGACACATTTTTCAAGACAACGCGGCCGGGCTATTTTTCAAGATGGTTACCAGCTTTTTTCAAAATGGCCGCCACTTGGACTCATTGACTATTTCCAAAGCTTTCTACATGGTATAAAAGTCTAAAAATATGATTTTTTTCGTCAGAGATCGTTAAAATGTATCAATTTTTGTCTTTAAAAAAAAAAAAAAAAAAAAAAAAAAAGGAGGCGGCCTCTAAAAAGGAAGCGGGCGGGGACGCTAAACATGTTTTTTTTTTTACTTCGCCTAACTACAATTGCCTCTCTCCACCCAGGTGTATAAATGGGTACCTGTGAGGGTCGAGGACCGATTGAGCGCTGATATCGGCTGCCCCGTGGTCCCATGGCCTGATGAACGGGGCAATAATTGTAAAGCGCTTTGAGATTGTTTATAAGATGGAAAGCGCTATATAAGCACAATTATTATTTATTTATTATTATGTCTGGAGCCACATCAAAAGTTCTACACAAACTGTCCGTTACAATATGTAGCACCTAAAATTATAATGACTGGAAAGCCAATTTCATAAGCTACGTTTAGATGAAAATATATTGAAATTGCTCAATCCGTTCATAGAACATCGCCATTTTAAACACAATGACCCTAAAACCTCAATGACCCTAAAATCGTCGTCACAACAGTCTATAAACATCTCCAGCGATTAAAACTCAGTTTTAAAAGTTAAAAATATTCAACAAGTCCTTTTGAAGGCCCTTCTTTTTAAAAACAGATGGATTTTATAAATCATATTGTTTGCCTATTTTAAACCAGGGTTGTCAATAAAAATATTGTGTACTACTGTTGATTACAGTTGATGAAACAAGTATTCTGTGTCATTCTCTTTGTTGTTCCGAACAGTCAGAATACATAGTAAATTGATTTTTTTTTAACGAAACAGGTTATAGTGTCAGTGCGTTTAAATGGTGACTGAACAGATTGAGCAATTTCAGTAATTTGTTCATCTAAAGGTAGCTTATGAAATTCGCTTTCCAGACAATACTTTTGGTGCTACCTATTTTTTTTTTAATATGAAATATATTTTGGGGGGTTTGGGTTCCGCTTTTTTTGACTCACCCTGTACGTCATGTCGTCGCGGAATTGTCAGGTGTGGGAACCAGACTACACTAACATATCAAAATACATGAAATCCATCTTGGACTGACACATGAGGGCGCGCGTCATAAAGAGTGTATTCTGATGATAGTTGTTGCGTATACATACGGCACAGACCGATCACCGAACCCGACTTGAGCCCTAAACGCATACAGGAATGGGGCCTAGGTCTCTGTTTGCTGGAGAATGGCACGTTGGAGTGGCTTTGATGCTGTCTATCATCCTCAAAGCACAGATCTGAGAGACGCTTGCTTTAAACACTTCGATAAAGACAGGTATGATGGTATCCAACATGAAGTCACAATCTGAATTCCAAGCGTCCTTTATAAATAATTTGCACCGCAAATAAATTCTCGTGATAAATCGAAGCGCAAACTTTGAATATGCTGACCTGATTTTTAAATCAGGTAAATCAAGTAAAGTTTTCAAGATGCACTTTATACATTGCGTAATGGATATATTAGCATTCTGTATTCACGAGTGTTCTGAATTGTGAGAAGAATTAATTTTGAAAAATAGAATTAGCTGTTGCAAACTGCTTACCAACCAAAAGGACCTATGGTATAAATGCAAAAAAATAGTTAGTGGCCTGACGTTTCGACCCTAGCAGAGTCTTTCTCGAAGGCTAAATGACAAGACTATAAACATAAACAGGTACAAGTTACTGTGTACCTGTTTATGTTTATAGTCTTGTCATTTAGCCTTCGAGAAAGACTCTGCTAGGGTCGAAACGTCATACCACTAACTATTTTTTTGCAAGAATTAATTTTATCATTACAAGACGATCGAATGAATCTTTTCCGAGCCATTCTATCAGTATAAATTACAACATCCCACACAATTATGTACACAACAATCACACCGAAGCGTGCAACCTTCGGACCCTGTATCTATAGCAAACCTTATCTTTGCGAATGCATAGTCGTTCGATCTGCTGCGTCGATAAATGAAAAGAATAACATTGCCCCTACGGAGGCCGATTTTGGGTGCATCTGAGGAACTTTTTTCCAGCACCAATGTTTTTAGTAGCAATGATTTCAGTACATTGTATAATTATAATGCAACTGTGATAATGATGCAGGCATCAACTACATAAGTACAGTACGCCTTGAGCTATGGTAATTTAATCCTATGCATTGTCAAATGTCGACTAAAACCTCGTCGGGACACGTCCAAACCACGTACAATGTTAACCAAACCACGTATAATGTCGCCCAAAAAAACTATTGGAGGTTGTTCCCGAAGTTTACTAACTAGTTTTAATAAATAAATCCTCAATGACTGACAAACCTCCTCAGTACCTTTAAAGTAAAATGTGTTTGAGTAACGAGATTGCCTATAGCTGCAGGACCTCATGATATCAACTTCGTCCCCGTGGCACGAGCAGTACGTTGCTATATCGCTCTGGGGTGGTAGCTTGCAGTATTCTGTTTCGCTATCACAGTGGTTTGTATCCTGCACTTGGTGATTCTGATTTTTAACATGTACTACATTTGAATGTTTTTGGTGAATATCAATAATATGAATATCAATAATGCGATGGTGTTTACTAATAGTGAGGTGCTTATAAAATAGCGCTGTACCAAAGGTCTCAAATCGCTTCACAATTAGCCCTGTTCATCAGGCCACGAGACAATATTTTAACAGTACCTTGAGATCAGCGGAACGATGTCTATACCTTCACAGGTACGTATTTATACTCCTGGGTTGTAGTAAACTGCCTTGCCTTGAATGATACAAAATAATGTTTAAGTACCTGGAAAACCTAAATTGGTCGTCTCTTTGTCGCCATGCACGCCCTGGAGCAATGAAAAATGGGAAAAATGAAACTTTTTCAATTCAATGCCAATCTTCACATGAGACGAATTTCCCGAAAATAGCACGAATCAGAATGATACCTTCGCCATCTCCAATTCAGGGATGACGTCTTAAACGAAGATGAGTTCCACACACTTTGCAGCGATCTCTTCGTGGTGGACGGGAGGTCCAACGTTGTCTCCAAGTACGAGTCCATGGCTATGATGGATTTCTTGAGCTGTAGTAAGGTAATATTATCGGCATAGGGGCCTACGTAGTTGCTGCCCTTAAGGGGCAGTACAAGTGAATGTGAGTTGTACAATGTGACAAGAAATCTCTTTTGTAAAGTTCAGAATTTCAGTTGAAATTTGTGATTGTGAATAACAGTTAAACAATCGGATTTTTGAGTTGCCTTGATTTGATATTCCGAATATTGTACACACGAACTGTACGAATAGAGGCGGCACCAAAATCTCCTTGGGGGTGTTAAGGACAAGTGTATTAATGAGTGCCGAAGAAAATCAAACATGCTATCTAATATCCAGACGATTATTACAAGTATGACAACAGCGGGGTATAAAAATGAATCGCTTTTAATTGAATCAGACTGGCCAACTGAGTTTATGTACAAAACAAAGCTGGACGTGACCTACAGGGCATTCTGAAAAAAAGGTAATAGATTTAGCTTGAAAATACCGTTTGTTTTATTGAGATTGCTTTTGTAAATCTAAGTAAAAAACCCATTTTGTGCCACTTTCTGTGAAGCAGTTAAAATCAGTATAGTCCTAGTCTAAAACCAAATCACTTTACTGTTAGTGATTTCAACATTTTTAAGCAGAGTGTGCAATATTTATTTATATTTAATTGAACTCTTTCATTGAAGTTTTAAAGAAATGAACCTGTCTGTACAATTAAATTGTTTCAACATAAAAACAAAACCCTACATTGTTGTGTGAATGGAATGTTTGTCTTACACCCATGGGGATAATCTTATCAAAAGAGCCATACTGGCATTGTCTGACCTTTGAAGCACTCGCTTCCTAAAAGTGGCACAGAATGTTTTTTTTTCGGCTTTGCGGTTATTCAAACATATCTCTGGATTTACAAAAGCAATCTTAATTAAACAAACGATATTCTCAAGCTAAATCTGTAACCTTGAAGATCAAGTAAACATTTGCAGTAAATTCCGGTGGTAAATTGGCGAAAATGGCGGGGTTTACATGCACTATTATTTTCAGGACACCCTCTATAACTCAGGAAGTTGTAGGAAATGGAATTGTCCCTGTCTGCCCCCATCTCGACCCGCGCAGCGCCTATACTGCTCATGAACTACCTTGGTGATTAGGTCATGGGGATATTCTGATAATGTAGTCTTGTACAATGTACTATATAATAGTATACACCTACTGACCAAATGTTTCTGTTTGTGCCAATGTTATTGACAGAAAGGAGTAATAAACAAGGATGACTTTGAGATCTGCTGGGAGAACTGGTTTAATCAGGTAAACTGTAGGCCTGAGATGGTTTACGTGTTTTCTCCATTGGTTTTGCTCTTATATTTCCATTTACAATAAACAAAAAGGTTCACGTTCATCCGAAAGCAGAAGTCGTTTTTCAATTAACGATACATCTCAAATGGGAATATACAATTTATGACACTTTTTTGTTACACCCTTCTAGATATTGTGTCCCAAATCGGCCCTTGTTGTGATAGATGTTCAGAATGACTTCGTGGATGGTTCTATGGATCTGAAGTGCTGCCCAGCTTGCCAAGATGGCGCAGAGGTTTTACCTGTCATTAATAAGTATGTTGCTTAAGCTGACACATTGGTATGGAGTCCGTGCACCCCATATTACAGGTTTTCCCGCCCAAATTCCTCTTTTTTGATCGTACGTATTCTAGCCATTTTGATCATGCTGCCTATTCTTATTCATTTTCATGGCAATAGACATGCAAATTGCGTCAATCAATCAATTAGTGTCCAATCGTCATTCAATTTGAAAAACTTGATTATTGAGGTGTTCTCCTTGATTCCTTACTTTCCTTTCCGTTTATATGCAAACAATTCAGCACTTTGTGCATTGAAAATTATTCCCAAATGGACAAAAGTAGGCTAACCAACAAAAATGATGGAAATAAAAGGCTTTAATTAGACAGTGTTCACCTTTAGTTTCTGTACGTCGAAACTACATTCTCAGAACAGGTTCTTCGTAACCAAACGTAAGACAATGATGTTTTTGCAATTGATTTGGTGTAATTTGTAAACCTCAGTTGCAAACCTTGTTTGCTAACAGAATTCATAAGTAGAATAGTTGCAAACGTCCTTCCCAATGTGATTTTCATCCACGTTCTCAATAGTTTACCCCTGGATGGGAGACTTGTTTTTAATTACTCTGATTCGATCCCATAATTAGAGTTAGATTTCTGTCATGTAGGCATACATGTGCTTGGTAAACTAAATTTGCAACGTGTATTGCGTGTTTAACGTTAATTGTCAATATTATTTGGAATTCTCTCGTCCATTTTTATTATAAACATGTTCACTGCAATATAGTACAGATTACACGGTGTGATTTTCAAACTGCAACTGCACTTGTTTCCCGACCCGAGGCCACGTTGATTATGTTCAGCTCTTACTTTACTTCATTTACTTTAAACACCACATTCATTTTAACAACATTTACTTTCAATGCTGCAACACTGCAAGGCACCGCACTATTCAATACCTAATTACATTAGATTTTTGGTTAACAAATGATACAGTTGCAGGGTGGACGTGAGATCTCCTGTGACATGTTTCTTTTACAAAATATCCGCCCAGAGGGCCAGATGTCAGAGATAAAGTTGTTGGGATGTAGCTGTACCTGGATTCAAGTCATGCTCTCTTCAAACGTTTTTAAAAGTTCCCTCTGTATTTTTACACAAGGCATATCTGGGCCTTAACAAGAAACGTTACTGATTAATAGAGACTGCTGCTGATGGTGTGTCGCCCAGATAGCGATTCACCTCCCTACTAAAGCTGGCCAATTTCCTGATAGTGGGTTTGTGGGCAGGATGGTAGTTCCATATTTAAGCCGTAGATAGTAAACAAACAAACAAACAAACAAACAAACAAAAAAAGACTTCTGATGGCTGACTCGGTTTGATCCTGGTACCTCCATTGCCAGGTCGCGTGGACGGACAGACTGCTGACACCTTGGATCTGGAATATACCTGTTTGGCATCAGCTGAGACAGAAGTTCTGGAGCCTCCTGATAAAAAATACGATGGAATAGGGTTGTTGCTCCTACTGCCCTGCGGTGACTCAATGGATGGATACGATGGTCTAGGTATTCATCTCTAGAGAGTCCGATGATACACGCTTGGCTCTGTTCTGAATGAATCAAGTTGAGCAAGGGAAGTGGTGTTGCATGGAGCCAGGCAGTACTCGCATACTTCATCTTAAAGCGTATCGTAGCTTTGCAGATAATGGCTCTCTGAGCCGGCAAGATATAAGGAGAGACTCTTCTCAGAAGTCCCAGCCGCTGACCAGCAGACTTCATCATTTTGGTAACCAAGGGGTTCCAAGACGGGTTGTTGCTGAGGGTGAGGCACAGGAGATCCACTCTATCAACTTCCGCCAAGTGTAGTGTCGAAAGAGCTAAGGGGAGGATGAGTAACTAGCTGCAGGATTCCTGTCATGTTTGAATCTGATGAAGGACCTTATGGTCGCATCATATGCATACAGGATAGACTGGTTTGTCAGGTCTGATAAATAGCAGGGCATCCAGTACGGAGCCTTGAGGTACGCCAGCGTTCATCATCTTCTCACCAGATTCCTTTCCACTCAAGACTACCTTTAGTGATCGAATTAAGGTAGTCAGTCAGCCAGGCATGCAGTGTTCCAGAAAAGCTATATGCAGCAAGTTAGCGAGCTTTTTATTAGTATACTTCGTGACCATAAACGACCAGTAATGAACTACTATGTGCACCTGTCATAATTGTGGTTAAAATATCACGCATTTTACACTCACTCTACCTGATGGTTAACGAACTGTTCGTCAGTACAGCTGCTTGATTTATCTTTTCCCAGACTCGTGGATTTGAAATTTGACGTTGTCGTTTACACAAAAGACGATCATCCAACAACTCACTTGTCATTCTTCGACAACTTGAGCCTGAGGAAACTTCATTCGTCAAGCAAGGTAGTATAAATAACTTTAGAAAGCAAAAATTAAAGATTTAACATTACTTTGAAAGGTAGCGAGTAACAACTTTGCACTCGAAACCTGATCTAACGAAGAATTGGAAATATGTAGGGGTTGTTCCTTCCTACCAAAATTCTCTTGTATGGGTCTACATTTGGGTGGGACTAGACATAGAGCAGATTCTTCGATTCCAAATCACTGTGTCTATTGAATTATCCTGAGTATAATTTGTTCCATCGAAGGGTCTGATTTCACCGGGTGTTTTTACCGTCAACGTACAATAGTACCTGCGTCTGCATGCTGTTAGCAGATTTTTTTATCAGATTAAATAACCCTTTGGCTCCCAGGAGAATAAAGTACTCAGGAGTCTCGATTACCAGGAGCATTTGGAAACATCATTGTGTAGTGCCCTCGTACCTCATGCATGGAGGACAGAGCCCATTGCTTGCCCAGCAAATGTAAACAATATGTGAACTTCCAAACCGCCTGCATGTTTATTACCCTTGATGTGTTTACCAAGATTATGTAACCGGACACGCGCAAATACAATCTATGTATTTAGGATCTAGTTCAAGCCCCCCCCCCCCGTTCAATGTTGTTGGAAATCGGGCGTGCAGACAAACTGGCCACTTCCCCTAGCAACATTGCATTGGGGGTGGGGGCGGGAGGAATGCTTCAATCATAGAGTTAAATACACAACGCATAATGAGAGGGCGCTATTTACATTTTCGAAAAATGCAGAATGGCTTGGTGCCAATAGGTAGAAGTGGCGTTGGACTTTTGGAGCCCATGGGAGTGAGAGGGTTAATCATATATCTCAAAATGTACAAATGGTATGGGTAATGTTTTGCAAACAACACTGATTGTTTTAACTCGCGGTACAGTAGGCTATATACTTTGGTTTCGTCTAAGGAAAAGAGAATGCTCAGTGGATAACCACTAGAAGAAGTAATCTTTTTGCGTAGTCCACAGCTGTTACTGGTTCTTTGTTGTCCTAATAGTCTATGAAAGAACTTCAAATAAGTTTGGTTCATTGCTTCTGACGATGAATCTGTTATTGATTGTTGCATGTCTTAGTTCTACGGAAGAATCAAATATAATGTTTGTTTATAAAACTAGAACCTGTTCTTATAATGAACATTTATACTGCATGACGTTTAGTATCTATTATTGCTCCCATCCTTATTGCCCGTTGGATATTTCTTAATTCTTAAACGCAAGGTAAAGGCGGAAGAAGCCAAGTTATACGACCGTGTTGTCTTCGACATCCCGCCCTTACTCGACCAGATTCTGTGGCCAGCTCATTGTGTCCAGGGAACGAAAGGGGCGGACTTACATCCTGATCTGAAGGTAAGCAGACATATTTTTTTTGGAGGGGGGAAATTTAAACAATAATATTTCATCAGTTGCACAGAGAAAATTGATGTGAGAAAATTGATACACATTGACACCGTTGGAATTGGGAAGTGGGACGGCCATAATTCGAAAACAAATTTGCTGATCTGATCTGGGAGGGATTTCTCTGCGACGTCACAGTGAAAGAGCTGATTTTTCGGGGTGCTCAATACAATAAACACTGACGCTTTAAGTGAAATCGAAAACTTTTCGGAAAAGGTCAATCATAGTTCAAATGAGTGTAATTTTCTAACGTAATGAATATTTATCCAGCGAAAATTTTTTTGACTACGCAAAAAATGGCAGTGTCCACTTTACATGTCGGCCTACGGGAATGTATCTATAAACAATTGTATTTAAAAAGAAAAAAATCCACTTTTCCTTTCTTACAAAACTTAGTTGTTATCGAATTAAGATTCTACTAACAAAATCCTCTGAACTGTCTATCATCCACAGATAGCAGAGAACCATCTGATTCACCTGAAAGGTACTAATCCTGAGGTAGAGAGCTATTCGATATTTAAGGACGAAACCAAACGCATCAACACCGCATTGATGGCTGACTTGACAAAGCGAGACATCACTGACGTTTACGTCTGTGGTCTGGCTTACGACTTCTGCGTAGGTCAGACTGCTATGGATGCTCAGAGTCTTGGCTACCGGACTATGTTGATTGAGGACGCGGTCAGGGGCGCTGATATAGAGAGGATCGCTGGTATGAGGCAGGCATTGCTGCAGGCTGGTTGCATCCTGGGCCAAGCACACGAGGTATGGTATATTACACAAACACACACACAAAAACCAACATCCCAACGACGCGGCTTCGCATATACATGTACTTACCATTGAGCAAGTGGTACGCCTACAATATAGATAGCGCAGGTCTCTATACATCTTCCTTTGCAGCGTGTTCAGCGCATTTATTTCTTGTCTCGAGACTGGTTTGGTCATACCTTCCTCTTAGACGGCACTTTAGCTATGCCTGGAGACAACTTAAACAGGTCTGATTTGCTTATTTCTTGCCTGTCAACAGGTTGCCACGATGCTTTGTAAGCGGACCAGGCATCCACAGTGGGGCTTGGTAGCAGCGCGTAACACGGCCCAAGCTGGGACGAAGCAGCTGGGACAGAATGCCGGAGTCTCGAGTCTAAACACCAATCGAAACACTAACAGAAACTCAAACACCCTCCGGGCCTCACAAGTAGAAGACACTTAACGCATCAAACAATGATGTACGATTAATGGTCCTCGGAATCCCCCCCCCCCAAAAAAAAAGAATATGCAAATCCATCACAGCCGTGGTTTACAAAAAAGCAACAAAATATAAAAAAAAAACGAGGGAAAATGTCAATCCTGAACTGGCCGAATTCGCCTGTGAATGTTTCATTCTCTCAATGAATTCAGAACCTTGTTAAAATTGCACCAAGTGTATTATGCTAAGCCTTCCTTCCAAATGATGTCACGTAATGTTTTAATTGGCCAGAAATGCATATTATTCACAATTAAATTCCCAAAGATGGGAAAAGAAATTGAAATTGAAACAGTTTGGATATTAATTTGCAAAAGTTTAGTCTGAAATTAATTTCCCCTTAAAAGGCATATGGAAATACGTTGATTTGTATGCGATTGAGTAGCCTTGCAGTAAGCGGAAACAGATTGATTGAAATTGGTGTAAATCAGTGAGTGTTAAGTTTTCATTCGGTCGAGTTTGTCTTGAGATTATGTTTAACTGCAATTTTTTTATGGTTTCTTGATCGTTTGTTGTAAAGTAAGTTCAGTTTTAGCTCATTTTGAAATGCCAAGGGTGTATCCAGATAAACAGTGGTTTGACTTACTTCCACCCCTTTTTGTATTTTTTATTTTGCATGTAGTCAGATAAGATTTTTAACCTTTATTGACATACAATTTTAAATTATATGTATGGTGCTAATGTTAATTGTATTCCAATCCTTACTGGTTTGTATGCACATGTACATGTATTGGTAAACTTAAGGTAAGTCTTTTAATAAGATACACTACGCATAATTTTGGTGTTGATTTGGTGTTGCAATCGGTCGGTTTAAAGTTGTTGTTTCACTAATTGTTTCACTAATTGGTTGATTATAATCGGCTTTTTTTCATTTACATCCAAATCAATCTCTCGAATTAGGTGTTACCTCTATTTTTGTAATCATGTAATAGAATAATGATCTGTTTTAGTATACACTGACTTTCCATTGTTTAACTAACACTTCAAGTGAGTATTTCTGGAGGTGATAGCGTGGTTATTCTTTACATTTTACCGATTAATGAATGTGTATAAATGGTATTTGTCAATCACGTTCAGTCAGCTATAACTTGTCGGTTAGTTGTATTTAGTGTCTATATAATTTGGTTTTTCTGCTTAGTTAATCGGTTGTGTTAAGCACTGAGATATTTATTTTGGTCTGCTATACTGTTGTCAAACTGCTTTACCTTTCAATTTAACTTGAAATACAATCTGTACTATAAGTATTGATCAAATCGCACTGAAAAAAACCCCCAGTAGTTTGGGAGTTGATTGGTTTTATTTGATTTGGCTATTATCCTAGCCCTTCTATAAGTACGAATATTTTGTTATATACTTACTTATACGTCTAATGAATGATCGTTATTTTTTTCTCTTGCTTACATTTCATGTCTCTTTAAGTAACAAACATTCAGCCAGTAACACAATATTCAGAGCAGACGTAATTTATATTCCTATGCAATATTATAAATAAATATCATTAAACAAAATTGAGAGAAAAAAAATTCTGAAGGGAACATAGTCTGTCTCATCTTCAACTGATAGACAGCGGCGTAGCCAGGCTTCATCCTTTAGGGGCGTTGGGGGCTTGATGTTAAAATGGAGGTTTGACAAGTTTTTTCATCGGACATCTGCCCTCCGTGAAAACAAATAGGGGGGGGGGGGGATGGACACTATCTTCCCATGGGGGCGCTGTTCAAAACGTATATCATGGCTACATTAGACAATAACTACCGCTATTCGCTTTCCAAGGGACGTTACAGCCACTCGCGAAAAAGAAAGGTTTTGGTAAAAAATACGAACAACATCGCGGAAAAAGGGACTTTATGTTCTTCCAGCTAATCATGGTAACTCATAATGACTGTTCTTTCTTCAGATTCCAAATATTCAGGGGGGGGGGGGGCTTTTTATATGGGTCACAAAACTCACGATTTTTTTTCCATGAAAGCAACTTTCAAGCATTTCAATTGCATAGGTTGTAAATTTTTAACAGCAATATTTTCTCTCTTTATTGATATTTACCAGAGATACAGATGTGATCTCCTGCTTGAAGAATGACAAAGCCCCGGCATTGATAAGGCTCACTGGGCGTTTCTGAGCAACATGGGTCCTCACTCCTCAGGCCTAATTAAAAACGTTCTCTTCAAAATAAAGCAGAGTCAACAGGGGGAAATGTCGTACACTTCCAGGTGAAGATCAAGGATTTTTGGCGGGGGCGAGGGGGGCGGGGGGGTCATCAGCAAATCAATGCTGAAATATACAGAGATTTTTTGTCCTGACATTTGGCCTTCGTAAAATCAATAGGTGGGGGCAGCTCATGCCGTACTTTGCGCTGTTCAAGTCCGACGATGATTAACACTATAATCAGAATAAAAGCCGACCAAGGTCTATTAAACGTAAACAGATTCGGCAATTAATTATTCAACTAGACTGTGACTAAACTCGAGAAACTGACCAATCAACATGCACTTTCTATATGCGCGTAATTCAAGCTACACGCGTGCGTAAACATCACACCGATAACATCCGCGTGGATAATGGATGATATTCAGACTTCTGCTATCTGTCTCAGTAAAATGAACATGTTAAAAACTTTTTAAAAAAATTCGAGTTCACTTGTATTCCCAATGCTGCAGCAGTTGAGTGTAATGAAATTAAAGCAATGTCTTCGTGTTGAAGTTGTTGATGGAGGAAGGGTCTACTTAATGTTGTAGACTGATCGTACCAGGGTGTTCTTCACATTTTACAAGTTCAAATACTAATGAACTGTCTCCTGATAAAGTTGTCAGCTACCATGCGACATTTGTTTTATGTTGGTTGCTCTTTGGATTTTGTACATACATGTTACTTTGTGGCAACTGGCGAATGCCTCGTGTGTGGAACAAACTGCATGTGTGTGCTGGTTCCCACACATGCAGTTGATCTTTAAGCAAGATGATTGTACTCTAGTAAGTACAACCCGCGTTTGAAAGTCTGTTATGGCTGCAATGCATTCCAGAGTTGTATGACGAGTCACTGAGTTTTGTGACTTGAGTCAACTTGAGTCATTAGGTCAAGAAGGTCGAGTCGAGCCGAGCCGAGTTGAGTCGAATCACAGTGTGTAGTCAAATCGAGTCGAGTCAAATATTTAGCTCGGGTCAATTCGAGTCACAAATATTTTAACACTATATAATAAAGAAAATCACAATGTATCACTAACAGTTAACAGGAAGTGAAACTTCGGTCTCATATATCTGGTTTGGCTTCGGGTCTAGAATGTTTTTTTTTTCTCTGATCACTGCCAACATCAAACAAAAATGTTTTCTTTAAACGGATGGATATTAAAATGGATTTGTAGACATCAATATCTTAAAATGATCGAATTTATTCATTATACTTCTTACACTGAAGTTGGCAAATGAAAAATCACCTGCACTTTGGTTGTGGATGATGCCATATATTAATTCTAAATACAAAACTGTTTCTGATTATTTAAAAGTGGGCATGTATCTATTTAATTTTTAAAGGAGGGCAAAAATGTAGCCGGTGTGGCAGGTAATTCTGTCCCCCGGACAAATTTACCGGCTCGTGACCCGGTAAATCTGTCCGGGGGGACACATTTACCTAGGTAGATCTGTCCCCCTCCCTGGTAAATATGTCCCCCTGCCCAACGTTGAAAGTGTCCCCTTGGTAAATGTGTCCCCGTGCAAGTATCACCTATGCGATGAGTCGTGTTATGTTCGTGAGCGCGCATCGCCGCAAGTACATGCTGCAAGATTTGTGGCAGCGTTTATCGCATGTGTACATAATGTATCCTACTACACAAAGGAAATTCATCCAATAGGAAATTTCGTTACGCGCTACGATGGGAACGCAGACCAATCCAAGTAGGCGTTATATCAAGGAGGCGTCCGCCGTAGAATAGGGCTACACCGTACTCCGAATCGATCGAAACATTGTGTTCACATTTCACATCTAAGAAAGAGACCAAAAAGTTAAAAAAATTTCATCTTCATGAAGGGCAGACTAAAGAGTAAAAAAATGTATACCTTGTAGAGTGAATTCATCAAAACAATATGGAGAAATGGCCTTCTGCGTTGCAAAACTAGGGGGACAAAAAAAACCTGGAGGGGACAGAATTACCTGAAGGGGGAAAGAATTAACGGGCCGGGGAGGACACTTTTACCTAGGTAATTCTGTCCCCCCGGACACTTTTAATGGGGGACAGAATTACCGTCCACACCGGCGTTCGAATCCAAGAGCTTAATAAGAAATGGCCCAAAGCCAATGATGAAACCACAAATTGAAAAATGTGTTTAAAGTCAGGTTCCTTGATATAATTTGTGCGTGCCACAACCACAAGGTGAGGGTCTGTGACACACGTTTGTGTTTTCGACAAGCAGCCGCTGTACTGTACTGTATTCGCAAGGTGCCATGTTTATGAACATACACTTTGCACGGTAAGTCATTGCAAATATTTTTCGTAAAGTTTTGCTTTTATTTTTAGGAATCAAGTCCTATTAGCCTTCGCTCGAGTCGAGTCGAGTCTTCTGATGAGGGACTCGAGTCGAGTTGAGTCATGTGCTCACAGTGACTCGAGTTAAGTCGAGTCATTTACCCATAGGGACTCGAGTCCAGTCAACAAAAATTGTGATTCGAGTCGAGTCATGGACTCGAGACGTTACAACTCTGATGTATTCTTGCATCCTTCCTAGCTCTCACTCGTTCTGTTACCGTTGAGGGGGTACTTGAGTACACCGTTTATCCACATAATGCTCTGTTCAAGAGGCCAATCAGCAGCTTTTGGCCCTGTCTCAAATGTTTAGGGTAATTCTGATCTCTTCAAGCTGTACAATCATTCAGTGGCAAATTTTTCTCACTGATGAGATACTGCAAATGTCTATCATCACAAAAGTGAACACAATTTATATCACATTTAAATTTTCAGTTTTAAAGCTGCTAATTGCCCTTTCGTCAAATTCATGACTCATCAGTTAAACTTGCATTGAACTTAATTCTTTTTTAACATCATACATTTAAATTAAGTTATAAAAGTTAGAAGTATGAATGAATGAAGATTATGCTTTAAAAAAAAAAGTCTTTAAAAAGGCTTTTTATATGCGTGAATGGGAAAAAGTATAAAAATCTGTTTCTCATTCTTCTATGCTATAAGAATGGTGAAGACGTAGTAATGGAAGATAACTGTACATCTTCTGGCTCTGTATCATGTTTACCCCGGGTCATAGTGTTGCCAGTGGCAGCGCCAGACTCTAAATTTGGAGGGGGGGGGGGGCAATTGGGGAGCAAGGAAATATTTTTAGGGGGCAATCAAAATCACATCCTACACGTGCAAACGCACTCGTGCCCATTGTCAATAGTTCTAAAATAAGCCACTAGAGCATCTTAGAAGTGAAGTCTTTTTATGAACAAGAAATGTGTCAAACCGCAGAATGGTGTATAACAAATGTATTTATAACAAATGTACAATGACGTTGGATGCACACGAGGCATACGTAATACGTCATTACTAGGTTGTAATAATGCCCCCAAAGGAGAGGTTATAGCGAAAGCGGGATGAGGGGCTGAAACAGCAAGCCGCCAAGTGCCAGAATATCGCGACATTTTTTAAGCAAGTAATTTAAAGAATAAAACAAATTTTGTTTATCCTCTATAGCTTCAATAATATAATGTCATTCATGCTGGTGGCCTGAGTGTGCCCTCACTGGAAATTGTAGTGCCCTGTGCCCCAATTGAAAAATATAAATGCCCCCTGTGCCCTACTGAACTATGTTTGTGCCCCATGTGCCCTTATGTTAGTGCCTCCAATGCCTTCACTGAAAAATATTAGTGCCCTCACTGGAAATATTAGTGCCCCCTGTGCCCCCACTGAAAAATATTGGTGCCCCCTGAAAACTTGTAGTGCCCCCTGTGCCCCCATTGAAAAATATTAGTGCCCCCGTGCCCTCACTGAAAAATGTTGGTGCCCCCTGAAAACTTGTAGTGCCCCATGTGCCCCCATTAAAAAATATGAGTGCCCCCGTTCCCTCACTGAAAAATGTTGGAGCCCCCTGAAGACTATGAACAAGAAATGTGTCAAACCGCAGAATGGTGTATAACAAATGTATTTATAACAAATGTACAATGACGTTGGATGCACACGAGGCATACGTAATACGTCATTACTAGGTTGTAATAATGCCCCCAAAGGAGAGGTTATAGCGAAAGCGGGATGAGGGGCTGAAACAGCAAGCCGCCAAGTGCCAGAATATCGCGACATTTTTTAAGCAAGTAATTTAAAGAATAAAACAAATTTTGTTTATCCTCTATAGCTTCAATAATATAATGTCATTCATGCTGGTGGCCTGAGTGTGCCCTCACTGGAAATTGTAGTGCCCTGTGCCCCAATTGAAAAATATAAATGCCCCCTGTGCCCTACTGAACTATGTTTGTGCCCCATGTGCCCTTATGTTAGTGCCTCCAATGCCTTCACTGAAAAATATTAGTGCCCTCACTGGAAATATTAGTGCCCCCTGTGCCCCCACTGAAAAATATTGGTGCCCCCTGAAAACTTGTAGTGCCCCCTGTGCCCCCATTGAAAAATATTAGTGCCCCCGTGCCCTCACTGAAAAATGTTGGTGCCCCCTGAAAACTTGTAGTGCCCCCTGTGCCCTCAATGAAAAATATAAGTGCCCCCTGTGCCCCTACTGAACTATGTTTGTGCCCCCTGTGCCCTAATGTTAGTGCCTCCAATGCCCCCACTGAAAAATATTAGTGCCCTCACTGGAAATATTAGTGCCCCCTGTGCCCCCACTGAAAAATGTTGGTGCCCCCTGGAAACTTGTAGTTCCCCCGTGCCCCCATTGAAAAATACTAGTGCTCTCTGTACCCTCACTGCAAAATGTTGGTGCCCCCTGAAAACTTTTAGTGCCCCCTGTGCCCCCATTGAAAAATATAAGTGCCCCCTGTGCCCCTACTGAACTATGTTTGTGCCCCCTGTGCCCTAATGTTAGTGCCCCCAGTTCCCTAACTGAAAAATATTGGTGCCCCTGTGCCTCAACTGAAACAAAATGTTAGTGCCCTCTGTGCCCTCACAAAACATTCTGTGCCCTCACTTGTCCCTTCTAAAAATGTCGGTGCCCCTTGGCCCAAGACAGCTGTGAATGCTGGTGCCCCGGGTCTTTACTCAAACAACAAAAGTCGGAGTTCCACAGAACTGCTGTTGCTATGTTTGAGACAGTTACATCAACAAGCAATGTAGGTGAACAGCTGTCGGTGCAACATCTAGATGAAAAGGAGCAAAGAAGGAACGCTCTCCTGATGATTCTATCAACCGTTCGATTTCTTGCACGGTAGGACTTAACGCTACGTGGACATGACAATGATGCACAGTCTATTTTCATTCAGCTCCTCAAATTGAGGTCAAGCGATGTTGTAGAGATTGTAGATTGGCTGGATAGAAAGAAGGAGAAATACACATCTCCTCAAATACAAAACGAATGATCGATCTACTAGCGAAGCAAGTGCTTAGAGAAGTTGCTCAAAAAGTACAACAGGCGAACTTTTATGCGATTATTGCAGATGAGACAACAGATTCATCTAGTCGTGAGCAATTGGTAATTTGCCTACGCTGGGTGGATGACGATTTGATTACCCACGAGAATTTTATTGGATTGTATCAGATTGACAGAACAGACGCCAAGACCATCACAACTATGATCAAGGATGTCCTTACCCGGTTGAATTTATCACTGGCTAGGTGCAGAGGCCAATGCTATAATGGGTACGATGACTGGAGCTAGAAGTGGTGTTGCAACATCAATTAAGTCAATCAAATCCAGAGCTCTCTTTACGCACTGCCACGGACATGCCCTCAATCTAGCATGCGCTGACACGATCAAACAATCAAAGCCGATGAGGGAGGCCCTGGAAACCACTCACGAAATCACAAAACTTGTAAAGTTGTCGCCAAAGCGTGATGTCCAGCTTGAAAAGATTCGGAATGCTATGGGCGGGGACACAAGCAAAATACGCCTTCTCTGTCCAACGAGATGGACCATGCGTTCCTCGGCAATTCACAGTATTCTACAGAGTACTTGATTTGTGGATATGGTGCCTTGAGGAGTATAAGGACACAGAAACCAAAGCGAGAGTTCAGGGCGTCGCCTCCCAGATGCAGAAATTTGAATTCTTCTTCGGGCTGTCATTGGTAGCTGTCGTACTAGCAAATGCAGACAGTCTTAGCACGACACTTCAGAAGAGAGAGCTATCAGCCTGTGAATCACAACGAATCGCTTCAATGACCGTAAATGCTCTCAGAAGCATTCGATCCGATGACTCCTTTAAAATGTTCTGGGCAAAGGTGCTTCGAGAGTCCAAACAAAATGATGTTGGGGCGCCTGTACTTCCACGGCGTCGTAGTACCCCAAAGAAACTTGAAGAGTGCTACGGTGGTGTAGCAGCCCCAGAGTATCCATCGACGCCACATGCATACTTCAGGCAGATTTATTACCAAGCTCTTGACCTAGCAGTCACATCGATAACAGACAGATTTGAGCAACCGGATTTCAAGATATACTCGCACTGTGAGCAGCTCTTGCTTTTGGCAATGTCAGGAGCAGATTACCAGACCGAGTTAACCACTGTCGTCCAGTTTTTCAATGAAGACTTCACAGAAGAGATGCTCAAAGCCCATCTTCAGCTCCTAAAGGGTAGTGTCAGCTCCTGCCAAATGATAAGCGAACTTGTCAAGGAATGCCAGCAACTTCACCCTGGCCAAAGGGACTTGATGAGTGAGGTAATAAAACTCATCAAATTGCTACCGACAGCACCTGCGACTAACGCTACCAGTGAAAGGTCCTTCAGCACTCTCAGACGGATAAAAACGTACCTGCGATCAACGATGAAGCAAACACGTCTAAACCATTTGATGATCGCAGACGTGTACAATGAGAAAATGGATGCTATCGGCCTCCAAAAGGTGGCCAATGAATTCGTACAAGGACATCACAACCGAATGGCCCGAATGGCCCTCTTTGCTTTGTTCAAATAAATTCACGTAAGTGTAAAAAAAAACCAGTGTAAAACCAACATAAATAATCATGTTATGACAATGTTCTGCCATGAAGAGCTTCACCTATTATTTCATGATAGTGAACATGGTTATCTATGTGCGCCCAATTTGAACAGTACGAAAATTATGTCCCCGCTCCCTTTTTATCTGTAAAAAAAGAACCTGTCTTTCTCTCAGCATAGATATATCGAGTGCCCTTTTTCACGTCTACCCCCCAATATAAATGACTTTGCTACGCCTATGAAAGATATGTCTTTGTTTTTTCACACAGACTCTACATGTATGACCCAGCCCCAACCTGGTAGCTGAGACTGCATGATGTGATTTTTAAACAACAGGATGACAACTCACAAGCCGCAAACCCATTTACATCTAGAAACTCTTCTCCTGTCATGGACAATTCTACTTTCTTTAACGCTGCTGGATGTCACTACAACATGCTGCCCAGTGAACTGTTACCTACTGCCAATCAACATTGGATCTGATGAGCTACGTGCACCTACACTTAGTTTCAGTCACAGTAAATGTGAGAAATGTGATATTACAGCAACTGATTCCTGAAACCAAACAAGGAAGCAGTTTGGGATGCATTGGACGTCCCTCTTGTCAGATGCGGTTCAACCAAATGATATCACTTCAAAGGTGCTCCCTGGCATTGAATGGATGGAATGTGTGAGCTACAGGTAGACCAGCACCAGCAGGAGTCATTCAGGAATTGCTCCAGAATGACTTCCTCCTGTACAAATCTCTCCCGCTGGACACAAAACTGATTCTAAGGATACATGTGGCTCACATCCAGCCATATATGAATGGACCTTGCAAATCACACAAACTGTTTGAAGAACTGTTGAAATATGATGGGAGAGATATATGCACAGTTCTGCCTACAATACGCAGATTTATGTTTACCGCTGGAAGCCTGATATAAATGGGCCAAGAAATCACTGGCCAATATAAGCCATTCAACCGCTAAATATAAGGTCCATGGTGTAATGTTATGTGCTGTGGAACAACAGGATGTACAGTGAAAGGACTGACCATGGAGTGTGGTATTGGGAAGGTATCATGGTTCAGCTATTATGCCTTCTAACACTTATTCATTCTGAACTGATAATGAATTACTTTATCAACATATGCATGTACTCTGCAACATAATTTATTCGCCTATTCATGTTTTTTTATTAATAAATAAGGACAAATGTGTGAGTGGGACAAATCATCTCAAAACAAAACAAGTGCACTGAAGCAAATATAAAGAGTTTGGTTAAGGACCATGGCATAGTAGCTGTCCCCTACTTTCCAACGTGCCATTAAGTAGAAGCACTTCAAATGCTCGCTTCTTTCCTCAACCTCGCAGATTCAATCCTTGGGCAAATTGGTTCTACAGGAGGTTGGGTGCTGTTCTCCGTATACAATCGTCACTGTTGTTTCCTCCATTCGTACCCAAGAACGACACCTGCAAATACATGAAAGATGGATGAAAGTATTACCAGCAACATAATTGCATACACATTCTTGGAGATTGCACTTTCCCTACATCGACATCAGTCAACTGTGTGAACACTCTTTTAGATTTGAGCAACTACATGCAAGGGATGTAGTTCCTTTTTGCAATTCGCATGGATTTTAATACTCACCAGTTGCTCATTGAAGGTGTCCAAGTCTGTTCAGAGTGCGTTTTCGATCTCTTTGCCTTCCTCAATCGACTGCAGTGGCAGACTGAAATCCTCATGTTGGCAACCGCTTCATCAAGCACTTCGAGCCTCTTGCACTACTGCAAAAAAGTTACCATTATCACTGTCTGTTAAACCTTCAACAACGGCCACGATGCCCTCGTAACCTATCACAGCCATCATCAATTATATCAATTACAGGTACACTGGCAGGTGTCTGCTCTATGTTATCACACCCCTATATGGTGTTCTAAAGACGACAAATGTGCGTCGCGTCGTGCTGTCGCTTCGCCTGTACCGTCGCCCATCGCGTCGTGCCGTCGCCTGTCGCGTCGCCTAATTTCCCCATTGATTTTTGCAGTGGTTATGGGTGCCCTTGTCCGTTGCATCGTGCCGTCGCCCTCCGTCGCGTCCGTCACCTGTCGCGTCTTGCTGTCACCTGTCGCATCGCCGCCCGCACCGTCGTGTCGCCCGTCACGTCAGCCCTTGCAATGCCACTTGCATCGTCTAGGTGGCGCTTTTGTGCCTCTGGATGGCGCTGTTCAGTTGTGCCTCTTCTGAAGATGGAAGATATTTTAGCTTCTCTTGAATTGCATCATTTAGTTGACACTTTTCTGTTGGCAATCAGGGGAGGAGGAATTCAAAAACTCGACCTACCCCGGGACGCATCTTTTGAGATTGTCAAAGATAGCTTCTGTGAAGCATTTTTCCCGAAATGCATGGTGGCGGCCAAACTCCATTCTATTTAACTTAACATGTAGTGGCGACATGTATGTATGATTACGCCCTTTCCTATTAAACACATTGATTCCCGGATCCTCTCCCCCGACCACCCGGTCAGCAGTCGAAGGGGCGCGCATTTGTATCTTTGGAATCGAACCTAGACTCCAAATATTCCATGTCAGCCTACAAACACACTACGTCATTAAGTCACATGTGGAGTAGGAGGCCAATCAAATTATCATACGGCTGTGCATCCCATACATGATTATTAACAAACCGGGCTTAATCTCCTGCCTATCGCAGTTTGTATACTAAACCTCAAAATAAGTCAGGGGTTGAGACATACAACAAGAACGGTATAAAAGCGATAGTTTGAGAATTTTAGCCTCATATCTCAAGACAAGCTCCAAATGTAAGATGGACAATCTACTAGAACTTGTCTGCCCTCCCACCCCCGGCTCAAGAAACGATGAGGCCAATCAAGATTTGCTGATGTTCATTGACACCAACGACGATTAAATACTGTTCCGCCTCCGCCAGCCGCCCCCTCCGCCTCCACCCCGTCTAAGAAGACAAGAAAGGCAAGAAAGAGACAGGCAAATCAGGCCCACTCTAGATGCACTAAAGGTGGTACACCCTGCCAAATTAGAAGTAATCCGCCTGGCCAGCCTGAGAAATTGGGTTCGGAAACAGGCAACAAAACTAGAACAAACCCTCACGCGCGGCGAGACTCCGTACTGGCTCAGAGTCAATAAAATCATACCTACCCTTCCACTTGGCAGCTTTTGCCCTCCCAAGATGATTGTCTCGTGGAAAAGAAAACTGGCAGAATGCTCAGTGGAATTGGGGAACGTGACTCTGAACGCATACAGTTTGAAGCTCGCCTCGCTGGAGGACCTACTAGCATTAGTCAAAACAGCAGGTTTCAGCCTGATTGATGCCAAGATCCAGGACCGTACGGAGTGGTGGAGAGCACACCGAGTCTTCAACATCATCGCAGAGTTTGCAGGGCAGAAGGAGGGCCTGTTTCCAGCTTCACAGGGTGGGAGACGCAGATAGTTCATCTGTCAAACTTACAAACCAAACGGCTCTTTTCAGAGCCACCTAAACTTCACAGAAGAGATTAGAGCTTTCTTGTCTGAACCAGAAAACCCCTCTGTTTTATATAACCCTCTTACTTTCTTTCCACTCCTCCAAATTTCTTACTATTACTTTTCCTCTCCTATGCATTCTACAAACATATTGAATAGCCTATTCTCCTCTGTTTGAAGAGTCTAAAAAGTGCGATAGAACAATCCACTTTCTGAAGACGATCAGAGCATACTGACCGGAACGTCGAGTTTATAACTCTGGTTCTTTTCAGAACCATTCTCTTAGTTGAGAAATTATTCGCACATGGTGTTTCCGCAAACCTTTCATTATTTAGTATCTCTATCATGCAAAGCCTCAAATCTTACTTAACAATTCACTTATCTACTTGCGAGCATTCTTTGAATCATTCATTTTGTTAAATTCCTTTCATGTAATAAATAATGCGAGTCTGGACTAGCCCTTTTCCACATACAAATATAAATAAAGATAAGGTAGAAATTACAGAAGGCGGATTTGTTGATGATATGGATACCACTGAAAGTTCAGAAGCTGGCCTTGAAGATGCAGATGAATTTGAAGAAATTGCTGGTTCTGAAGTTAGCATCACTGACGGGAAGTCCGAGTTGACTGGAGAGACTGGTCCTGAAGATGCAGATGAATTTGAAGAAATTGCTGGTTCTGAAGATAGCATCACTGACGGGAAGTCCAAGTTATCTGGAGTGACTGGCTCTGATGCTACAGAGATGACCGAGCTACAATCGCTTCGTCGAGAATACATTGTGTATGCAAGACAGCTGATGACACTCTCAATTAAGTCATCTAAAGATCCTGCCATAGTGGATCACACCATCGCTGGGCCAGAGGAATTTCAATCGGCTCCTGCTCATTGGATGAAAGTTAGAGACATCATCTTGACACAGTCTGATAAGGATTGTACTGCGGGTGATAAGGGGTGGCTCAACGATAATGTCATTAATGCAGCCCTACAAGGCTACAACCCATCCTTCAATATCTCTCATCCTTTTGTTCAGGTGGTGCACCACAAAAACCACTGGCTTACAGTCTCATCTCTAGGAGCACAGAACAAACACACCAAAGTATTTGATTCTTTGTGTAGTACCAATGCTGATGCATTCCTACAGGCCTCCATCGTGTCAACCAAGAATGAGGAGTTCCTCATCAAATTCGAGATGGTACAGAGGCAACCTGATTGATCGAGCTGTGGAGTGTTTGCGTTTGCCTTTGCGTATGACATATGCGCAAAGAGAGATTCACGTGAAGTATGATACAAATGAGGCGCCATCTTCTTCATTGTTTGGATACAGGTGTCTTTACGCTATTTCCTATAGTGAGCGTGCGTCGCGTTCCTGTGGGAAAAATCGAAGTTGTTTCCGTGTATTGTCACTGCAGACTTCCTTGTAATGAAGGAGCGGTAAATGTCAGCATGGCCGAGTGTAGTCATTGCTTTGAATGGTTTCACTACCCATCCTGTGAAGAGCCTCCAAGCCGAGGTGAATGGCATTGTAAAACATGCTTGCCTATCATTCAGAGTGTGCGGAAGGGAACCTGGCGTGTTTAGTCGGTACATCTGCAACTGAACTGAAGGCGTAAGTTAGGTCATTGGAGAACAGATTTAACCAACTGAAAATAACGTCGAGAAATAAATAACATGCCAGTTATATCATAACTATAACAGTCCTCAACTAAGGGATTAAGCTACATGCCAAGAATACATTTCGTACCTTTACACAATTTCCGAATATTCAAATTTAAAAAAAATTGTGTTTGGTGTAATATTCACTTTACTTTTTCAATGCACCTTTGTCATTAGCAACAAAACGACCGTAACGCAACTGATTATGTTGAACATGGGGTAAACAATCAAACAAGTAATTTTTCGCCACTAAAATTTGTTTTGCTTTTTCTGCATCTAATTGATTGTGCAATTAACATATTAACATGACAACCTTTAAATGTTAAGATATTTTATAACTACAAGTATAATTTTGGGAAGAACCCCAAATGACATTGTATTTTCTGCCGTGGGCTCCGTGGTTCATTCAAGTTATTGCTCAAGAGAAGAAAAGTGTGCACGTACTTTACTGATGACTGCACACAAAGCACAAAATCAACACTGCGCCGGGAGCTTATTAGTCTGAGTATCACCCGTTATCCATGGAGCCAAGACCCGTATAGCATTCAGATATGTCTAGACATGCAGATATATGCAAGCCGCACGCCAGGCAATCAGAGTCGACTGTAAATCGTGACGTCATTTCATTCCTAAATCAGGACTACATGGTTTGATTGGTCAATTCGAGTGCAGTGTTTTTTAATAGCCGGGCACGATAACGCGTAACACGATACAGAGTGTGTGACACATTTTTTTTTAATCCAGTGTCTATGACGCGACGCGCAACAGGTGAATGACCCCACTGTTTTTTTAATAACCCCTGCCCAAGTTTTTTGACCCTGAATAAAAATTGCAGCCCGCATTTGATTGTATAGCTCAGAATTGGCAAATCATTCTAAACTCAAAACCAATGTGGAAATGATTAACTTTTCCTTAAAGAAAAATGGTGAAAGTGTTCAGAAATTCCTTCAGATCACACCACAGAGATCCACTCTAGGATCGAAAAAAAATTGAGTCTCTTTAAAGATGCATGCCCCGTCCCGAAAGTTTTGGGGCCCCTGAATCCCAGGCTTGCGTAGGGGCTTCGTGTACCCTGCTCATTTATAGTCTGATTAAAGTCTGCATGCCCTCCCCACCTTCGAGAAGTGATTGACGCCTTCAACAATATTGACTGATTTGAAGTTAAACTTCCTTTATGAAACGAACTCAACTTTTTTTATATTGCAAACAAAAAGACCTGGACTCATATTGCCATTTGTTCCCCCTATCCGATTTGCAAGGACACGTAAAAGGCCCTTTCCCCCTAACTGCATTTTATTTATTTATTTATTTATTTTTTTTTTTTGCCAAAAACTTTGAATCAAATTGTACAGTTAGGACCACATGTCTATTTTGAATGTATAGCTGTTGATCATGGCTGTTTTATAACTGCCAAGTTTGTGTATGGTGACTTTGAAGGGAAAACAATGTACATGAATTAACAGTATATTCTTTCCAACGGCTTCTTTAAAAGAAGAGCTGGGGAGCTGTACAGGTACTTCACCTACAACCTTGTTTACCTGAGGGAAGGCAAGTACAAGCAGGCTGGACAGCTGGTGCGTTGGAGTATAATCCACGGGGGGCCTGGGATAAATGGGATGAATGCAGCATTATGGAATATGATGACGCATTCCACCACGGAAGTTGGACGGTTGGAAAGCGCACCATACCCGGATCTTCAGGAGAACCTGCACAAGGTATACATTGTACATTTATAATATACAAACGGTTTTGAAATTTTCTTGTAAATTTAATTGAAACTTCTAGGTCTGGGCACTTAGCAAAACTGTTGGATCCCAGTGAATAATAAGTATACATCTACCTCCATGGTTTAACGAACTACTAGCTGACATCTGAACTGTCATTTGAGAAACCAAAGAAGAAGATCCACATGTAAATGATGTCAACAACTTTGAAATGCAGTCAGAACTTTTGCTTTGTCTCCAAAATTCTCATCTTGCTCATTTGCTTCTGTAGATCATAATGAGCTATACCCTGAACACTTTCTCATATGCTCCAAATTATTAAAATGTATAACTTCCAATTTCCATCTTTCAGATAATGACTTCATCCAAGGAGAAGTTTGGAGATGTAATTGCGAAATTAACCGACTGGTAAATTGACCAAGGCGCCACCAATATCCAAATGTGCACCTTCGAACAGTGTGAAATGCTACAAAGAGATCTGTTGACACACAACCTGTACTACAGGTAAAATTATATTATCCATTGATAAAGAGTTGATAGCTTCTGATTGGTCAAGACTCGAT